GTCAGTGTATACAGTACACTGTACTGTACACTATGGACAGTGTACATAGTACACTGTCCCCACAACGCCAGCCATCTCACACTGCAGGGCATTAGACAACAGCATACCGTTGAAACAACTCCCTTCCCACAAGAATATATCCCAAGCCAAATAAACGGTTCCTTAGGTTGTCAACCCTATTTCGTGTTTCTAAATACAGTATATCTTCCATAATAAATTGCAAGAGACTTTGGCAGCTAACTGTGCGCCCTCAGAGCGACTTGCAGGGATTAACCCGTTCGCACATTTAGTTGTGTGTACATTAGTAACTCTGGGATAAAGTAAGTGGCTTTAAGCCACAATAATTGCATGAAATACTGCAATATGCAGACGACTTTAAATGCCGAATGTAACATCTAAAAGCTATTTACATGATTTTACTTAGTAAACACACAAGAGTATGTGTACTAGTGTTTACTTCCCCCACAATAGTCTCTCGACCAATCCCGTAAATCCTAGCTGCACCCAGCCTCCAATGTAACCAATCACGTATCTGGATTTAATTATAACCATCGAACGCCAGTCTAACCTTAGTATCTCTTAGGCTGCAGTCCCTAAAATAAAAGTTTAAACATGTATAATTCATCTAGCGTCTAGAAAATAAGTTAGCCCATAACAATATCAATAAATATACAACAAAACATTTGAATCCTTCACCGAGTTCTCTTGACCAATTACATCCAAGGTAACCAGACCCTGCCTTCGCCTTGGCCAATCTCATGCCTGATGGAATCGAGCCAAGACAGCTGATAGCCCCTCCCCAACCCCTCTCCCACACACGGGACACAGGTGTCCACCTAATATCTAATCTTGATTTAGACGACTTAAATGGCAATATCTACCATAAAATTCGCAGCCCTTGCATACAATTTCAATAACATTTTATTTATGCACAGTATACCACTCCGCATGTTGCAATGGACACGTCACGAGTCTGGCACAATCATGCATGTCCTGGCACACCTCACGTCTTCGTACCCAATACCTGTCGTCAGTATTTTTCATCTGTCACTATGCTCGGTCTATGTCGTGCCACGAACACCCTCTTAACTGGCACTAACCGGCCACGTGACAATGAAACATCGCATTACTATTAATACCATGATCAACATGACCAATATGGCAACAACAACCCATTCCACTACTTGAACAACCTCGAATCTCGGCAGCCAATCACAAACGCCAAATTTGTTAACCAAGGTTTGCTAACAATGATATTCTTATCAGTAACTATTTCGGAACAGATACATTGATGAAGATAAAAAAATCTAAACATTATTAGTATCCACCTCTGCAATCATGATCAATTGCTTTTGGAGCACTCACTGTAATTATCTTAACTTTAAAAAGATATAACACTGTTAAACACAAGAACACGACACAATGCATTACCGTCCACATTACATCAGGCAAGGGATATATATATATACTCAAGAGGTGTATCCCATTTCTCGGTGTATACATATTTAAGAGTTTACTGTAGTACTAAACTATATTCAGAGCTTACTTGATGGTTTGGAAAAACTCTTATGGGAGCCTTAATAACCCTCCCGTGGTTGATACGCCTTGACCCTCAACTCCAAACCATTACATCACTGAAGCGTATTTATTTTTTATTAATATATTACATGAAGGGTTACACAGTTTGTGGCAAGTGATACTACGAATCCCCATCTCGCAGGACAGTCATACTAAGGCTCACATGCCTGCACTGGAAAAACCCTGAATGTTTGCGACGCAAATAAGACTAAGCAGCCGCTCCAAACATGCAACACGAGTACAAGGACGTACAGAGCAAGCAAGCTTACAGTGCCAATGGTCACGAGGATGCCCCAAGTCACGGTTCCCCTCCCCCACTCCAGGGCCTGGCAAGTCCTCCCGCACCCAGACTTGCCACTCACGGTCACAACACGCGTCATCTTCCTGGTCAGCATCACAGACGGACACTATCCACGCAGTCACCTTACTAGTCAACACATCTCGCCATCTTCCTGGTTAACATACCCTGCCGTCACCACCTCTAATCCCACCACCTTTCTGGTCAGGAAATGTAGATGTTTATCTCTCAGAATGTTTGGTAATATGTTTATTGCTTGTGATGTGTGTCTATGTATATATTAACACGATGTACTGAACGGGGTGAGAATAGCTTGAGCTACCTCATCCCTTTGTGTGTATTTTACCTCAATAAACTTATTTCAATTTCCTTTCTGGTCGATCAACATAATCCCCCCCCCCCCACCACTATCTTTCTGGTACATCTCACTGTTACGAATAAAAATAAATTTTAATTGTAATTATTTGCGTTATAATCGTAGGCCAAGTTTAGAGATTGTTAAATTTTAAAATCCAGCTGGAAAAAAATCATTAGGGGCAAATGGAGGGACCTTTAACAAGCTGCTGGCTTCCTGTCCACGTCGAGGCCATTAGTGTGTTACGTGGCCCAGTCAGGTAAATATACACTGGGGATCAAACCCAGATTCCAATTATGAGTCGAGAACGGCACTATTACAGTAGGCATAACTACCATAATTTACCTGAGGGTCACTACCTCTCCAGTGGCCTCGACGAGGACAAGAAGCCGGCGGCTTGGCAAAGGTCCCATTTGTCCTGATGATTCTGTGGAGATGCATTTTTGAAATTCAGCCGTTTCGGCTTTCAAAGCTTCGGCGGGAAAGAAGTTCCATGGGTTTACAACCCTATGGGTGAAAAAGCAACCAACTTTCCAAGAGCCATTATCAGCCGGCCGAAGTTATCTCCTGTTTTCCGTCCTGCATTGTGCCCAGTTGAGCTTAAAACTGTTACTCTTTGCTCGTGTTACTTCTTGCTTGCCCAATATACCACTCACCACATTTCTCCAGTCAGAATAATTTTGTTTAGCACCCCTTTCATGTGGTATCTTACCAAAACCTTTAGCCAAGTCGACGACTATTACATCTACTGGGGGGGGGGGGGGGTCCTGTCTGAATAGCTGGTTACCGTTTCCAAAAATGTGAGTAGGTTTGTAAACAAAGATTTATTTATTTGACAGCTCACGGTGAGAATGAGACTCTCCCCTTACGATTCTCTCCATGAGCTTACATATATGCATAGTCAGACCGATGGGGCGGTAGTTTTCTGCTGGGCTCTTTCTGCATTTGTTGAAAATAGGCATAACATTTGCCTATTTCTAGTCTAGGGGAGGGAGGGAATTATCAGGAGAAAGCGTCAAGCCATTACAACTATATAGCACTGGGAAGGGGCCATGATAAGGATTTGGGATGGGACAGGGAGGGGGGAGGAATGTCGCCCAACCACTTTGAGGATCGGGGATTGAACCCCTGACCTGCATGAAGCGAGACCGTCACTCTACCGTCCAGCCCAAGTGGTTGGGAAACTATCCCTTGGTCCAGAGTTTTTCTAAACAGAAGTTTCAGTGGTAGGCACACTTCCGCTGTCAAATCCTTAGCAACCTTGACCTGTGGTGGGTAGCTGTAGGTAAAGATAGAAACGAATGGGCACGTTTCTTTTTCACCTGATCATCTTCACCTAGAAGTAAATTAGGTGTGCGGGAGTTTGACAACTGTTGTGGGTTGTATCCTGGGAAAGGTCAGTAGTTAGCCAGGTTAGCCACTAACAGGTGTAGTGTTAACCAGGACCTCTATAAGGCTAATTACAGACTTCTCCCCGACGCCAGAATTAATAAACTGATATCCATATGCAGTCAATGAGTCACAACGTGGCTGAAGATATGATATCTAAACCTATGATATCTCCACATCAGAAAATTAAGAAAGGACGTTTCGGTCCGTCTTGGACCATTATCAAGTCTTGCAATGGAAAGAGTGGGAAAAAAATATGAGGGAAGGGTATGAGATGAAAGGCGAGATGAAAAGAGAAAGATAAGAAATTGGATGAAAGAATTAAGAGAATACGATAAAGGTTAGAAGTAAGGGAAGGAAAAAAGTAGAAAAGGAAAAAGGGGAATAAATAAGAAAAAGTTAGAAAAAGAGAGAGGTAACAAAGAAACCGGCAAGAGGCCTAATTGCTAGGAGAAAATATCTAGTAATAATTAACACTCCATTACACGACTTTGATCGTTTCGATCCAGGGCAGACCGAAACTTTGTCGTTTCTTCTTTTTCCGATGTGTGGTTTGGATGTTAAACTGTAGTTCTCGACTCAATCGGGAATCCTAGGTTCGAATCCCGGGCGGGACAGAAATGGTTAGACACGTTTGCCATCCCCTAATGCCTTTGTTCATGTCCGAGGATTCAAGTGTCCAAATGAATGAAATAGACATATACATACTCACAGGCTGCCTGTTCCCGACAAAAATTATTAATAATCCATGTTTCCATCATATTGATTGTACCTTGAATTGCATGAATCACTTATCAAAATCAATATCTTGACGTTTCAACGTTTACGTGGGTTCCTGTTATTAATATATTAGTATCCGCAACAATTATTTAGATGGCCAAACCATGAAACATATGCAGAGCCAGTGACCAAGTCCGTGACCAACAGTTTCAGTATTACCCGCTTCACGTAAATTGTCATGTATATCTACCTCACTTTACTATCATGTTTCAAATAAAAGTAACCATTATTATTATTTAATCCAAAGTTATCGCCTTTGTGTAGGGCCCCGATATAACGAACACATCATGTCACTTATTTCTTTGGCTAATATAGTTTATGTCGTTGACATACGTCATTACGTTGACGTATGTCATTACGTTGTCAACTAATTGAGTCCTTGAAGGAAATGACAAAGTCATGATTGGTATAATACTGGGAAAACATGTGTGGCCTACGTGAGAACCCGCGCGAAGTCCAAAGTCGGAAGTCACTCCCGAGAAATTAACTCAATAACTGGGAATAATTCACTAGTTCGCTCGTGGAAGTGTCAAGCTCCATTTCTCACTAAAATAACACTAAAAACAAATATAAATGAAAATAAATAATTGTTTTACTCACCAAAATCAGTGAACTGCTGCATGGACAACGGAGATGGGTTAAATTGTGAGTAATAGTCGAGTCTCTCTTCCATGAGAGCTCGGGCTTGGCGGAATAATATCCTATAGATTCTCATGGTGGATACGCGGAGCTGGGATGCTTGCGATGCTTACACAAGAAGAGAATTAACTGGGACCACCAACGAAACATCCGACCACTCTCTGCTGCTACGGATGTCTGAGGAACTCTTACTCTACTGCGCATAACTTCCACGCACACATCACTTCGTTCCAATAATGTTGCCTCTCTTGACTAATTCGTACTCAAAGGACTTTAGGGGAAAATTTTAGTAATACAGTATCTAATATACATTAAATAATAATATATTTAAATATAAGTATATACTGGATCAACATATTTGTTAATATTTAAATATTACAGTTCCTTACTCTTATAATATGAATCAATTGGTGAAACCACCTGTTGTTTGGGTATTTTTAAAAGGCTTTCAGTATAGATCCAGAGAAGGAGTGGAAAGTCCCCGCTAAAGAGGGGCTGGTCCCCGGTCACGCCAGCAGGTCTTCCCCCTGCACGTACGGTAAACGGCTGGGAAAACTGACTTACTCCACCTTGTAATTTCTCATTCGCAATATACGTAATGAAATCTTCAGTTTTCATTACGTTCTAAATTCTCTTTAGTTTGACATTTGAATAAAAGCCATAGCGTTAATTTGTCTTCATGTGTTACCCCGGGTTCGATTCCCGTGGCAGGATGGAAACGTTTAGGAACGTTTGCATTCATCTCATGCCTCTGTTTATCTAGCAGCAAATAGGTAGACGGAAATTAGGCAACCGTTGTAGGTTGCATCCTGAGGAAGGTCAGTATAGCTGGCCTAACCAGGCCTTGATATGTCAGTATCATATTTGCGTTACTTCCGAACAATTATTCATTGATTTTTTTGGCTCTTAATTCTTACTGTTCATGACCCCTGATCTTTTTCGCAATCAAACCGCAATTAAAACATCATCCCGCTGTTATCCTATTACTCTTATCATCATCTAGCCTCAGAACCTTACATTTGCCAGCATTAAACTGCAGCTACTAATCTTTTGATCATTACAAAACACTGTCTAGATCGTCTTGAAGTGATTTAGAGTGTTCCGAGTTTATTTACCTCGCGATTCTCATATCGAAGGCAAATGTAAAAATATTGCTGCTCACTATAACAGACAACAGAATCGGACAACAGAAGTCCCAGTACAGAACCTTTGAGGCACTCCATTCACAACGGTTTCCCACTCTGACTTTAATCCATTTATTTTAACTCCTTATTAATTGTTTCCTTTGGTATGACCATGTCCTAATCCAACATAAGATAGCACCCCAATACCGTGAGCCGCTATCTTGTAAATCAGTCTTTCGTGCGGTACTGTATCAAAAGCTTTGTTAAAGTACACAATGGTACACAACGTCACAAATCTTTCCATTATCAACTGCCTCAATTATGCTTGAATAGAATGACAGCAAATTTGTCAAATATGAGCGACCCTTGCTAAAACCTTGTTGTGAATCATTTATTAATCTGTTTTTCAAGATGTAGACGAATAGCTTTTGCAATATCGATTTAGCACTTCCCACAATAGACGTTAAGGTAATTTGCCGATAATTCGACGCAAATGATCTATCTGCTTTCTTAAAAATTGGTTTTATATTAGCAACCCCTTCCAAGACTTTGGTATTCTGCCTGACTATGATGATTTATTGAGTAAGCTAGATAACAGCTTATAGAGCTTTTCTTTGCATTCTTTAAGCACCCTGGCAAACACTTCGTCCACGCTCGGGGACTTGTTTGGCCGAGTTTCCCTGTTTGATTAATAACTTCCTCCTTGGTAACTACTAGACAAGTAAACCTGTCCTCTTCCCCATCACTATAGATTTGGTCTTTTACTTATACTTTTCACTGACAACACAAACTTTTATTGCCTCTCCCAAATCCATTACCATGCCACTATCTACTAACAGTTTAAACCCAAACAAACCGCTTCAACCAAAGATTCCAACGAATTGGCAAAAACAAGAACCCCAGCCCTAGATAAATGAACTCCATCCTCAAGCATACATATAATTCCTTCCATAGAAGTGTTCTCAGTTATAAATGAATGATACTGCATATGATTTGCATTATTTCTCTAGTCGGCATTTGACTTCAAGTGCTCTAGACAACCATTAATTTCCAACACCTCACTCCTAACTCTTCCTACAATGTTACAAGAATGTAACAACTCTTGTATATATCTCAAAAAAAAAAATGCTTCCTGACAGCATTCTACCAATACCAGCTAGAAATATTGTTTATTTTATCTTATAAAATAAGATTAAATAGCCAACAATACAAAAAAAATGTGTTAGCCACTTGAGGCAAGACAGAGCTGATGACATCGAAACTTTTAAAATACGGAACAATTTAATTCACGGAGGATTTATTTGGAGGATGTTGATCCAGATGTCTTCAAAAGGTCAGATGTAACACAAACAAGGAGCGACGGTTTCAAGCTCAACAAGCCACAATGTAGATAGGAAATGTATATGTTTATCTCTCAGAATGTTTGGCAATATGTTTATTTTTTGTGATGTGTATCTATATATGTATGAACACGTTGTACTGAACGGGATGAGAATAGCTTGAGCTACTTCATCCCTTTGTGTGTATTTTATCTCAATAAAATTTCAATTTCAATGTTGGATAGAAAACAGGAGATGCCTTTTCACCCACATGGGGGGTGGGGGGGTTATAAACTCATGGAAGTTTATAAGTTTATAAGTTATAAGTTGCCCTAGCGAAGCCGTAAATGCCAAAACGCTGCTGAATTGTTAAATTCAGCTCGATAAAATAAATCATCAGGACAAATGGGGGGAACCTTTGACAAGTCTGTCTTCATGGAGCCCACTAGAGAATTCAATTTCTTTCTAGAGAGATAGTGGTAAATTCAGGTGCAAATTTTGAGAAGTCTAGTCTGGAAAAATCTGGGTAAATCCTAGGTGCTACTCCTATTCCACCAGTTAAATGTAGTAATTGTAAACTGGCTTCGCCCATTCTTCTAATTACTACCTTACCTTGTATACTGCACACATATCATCCAGAAAATTTATGAATTAATTGCAGATAATAGATTATCTGGTCCAGTACGCATGGCGACAGGAATTTCCTAAAACAAACTTTATCGGGTGGCGTACCAAAGGAGTAGGGGGGAGGGTTGTGGGGGATCCAGTTGGTGTACAAACTGAGGTAACACGTGGTATACTCCGTTGCTCCGCCTTGTTGAGGTATTTATTGAGTTTACTGGATTCTAGGATTATGTTCAGGACTAAAATAAGCTTTCTGGTAGATCAGTCAGCCATCTTGGCGGCCTTAATACTCACTTGATGGTTCTGGACAGCACGAGTGGCAGTATTGAGCCTACTAGGCTCGGGAAGCATGGCGAGATTTTTATTCGTTGGATTATTATATAGCTGTAAAGCATTCTCTGGTCAACAGCACTGATCGATAAGACGCACATCGCCTAGAGGGACATAGTTTAGTTCATTTATTATGCACCCAATACCCATCTTGTGGGCGGTAGTGGGAAGGGTTACAGAGGCACATAATGGGCTCAGGGACTGAACCCCACAATTCATTTAGCTAAGCAAGTTACAGTCTTGATGAGGTAGTTACAAAATTCAATATATCTGCTACCAGAAATTTTAGAGGGACATAGAAGTTTGTAATTGTAATTTTTCCAATTTGATCCTGGACCTCGAACGAAATTAACTCGAGGTCCAGGATTATAATTATATTATACGCGTGTATAATAATTAGTTGAGTCCGGGGACATGCAGCCAGTTTATACATACATTACATGTTAGGCTTATATTGAGGTCTCTAGGATTTCGTATGGATTTCTTTGCCTGGGTTTCGTATCCTGACCAGGTAGTCAGGATACCGGGTGCCAATCCTTAACTGTTGCCTCTGTTCACCCAGCAGTGAATGGGTACCTGGTTGTTAAACAATTTTGTTGGTCGTATTCTGGGGAATAATTAGGATTAAGGACCTGCCTAAAATGCTATGCATGCTAGTGGCTTTCAAAAATGTAAGAACTTGTATGTGTAATTACCTAAGTGAAGTTACAGGATGAGAGCTAAGCTCGTGGTGTCTCATCTTCCCAGTACTCTGTCATATAACACTTTGAAACTATTGACGGTTTTGGCCTCCACCACCTCGCCTAGCTTTTTCCAACCATCTACCATTGTTTGCAAAAGAAAACTTTCTAGTGTTATTTTGGTACCTCTTGTTTCCCTTAGCTTGAAGCCGTGTCCTCTTGTTCGTGATGTTGCTGGTTTCAGGATTTCCTCCTTGTCAATTTGGTAGATTCCTATTAGAATTTTGTATGTGGTTTATTTAAAAAAAAATTAAAATTGATTTGCCTATTTTTCTCTGATATGATATATTTCCTGTTGTGCACTTACAATAACGAATACATCCCCATTTTTCTGAAGGCATATACAGTAATATTTTAGGCTTCATTAGTGTATCTCTTGATTACACATTACATATATCGACCAGTGAGTAGGCTTCTGCACTTCATGAGTGACACGTTACTGGACACTATTATAAAAACACACAAGTATCTTTACTTGAGCTTAAAATATGTCTATGGTTAAGGACTTAAAATGAGGCTAATATTTATCTTGAGGCATATAAAACATTTGTGATCATTAACATATTTGTGAAAAACATTGGTCCGATATAGAGATGCTCCGTTGATCGATCTGTGCGGGTCATAGCTCGGCGATTATAATAATACATGTACAGTACGTGTATCTTTGCTAGAATTTGAAATATGCCAATGATAATCTATTTAAAATGAAGCTTATATTTCCTTCTTGTGACATGTAAAACACTCGCATTCATTAACGTATATACGTGAAATAAGCATTGTTCCGAGATGAATATTGCTGTTTCTGAGCTTGCCGAGCAATGAAAAATACAACTTTTATACAACGACATATATATTTTGGTGTTACTTGAAATATTTTCGTGGTAGAGGTTTTACATGTAGATTGTTTTTTATCTAACATATAAATAATTTTTGTTTGTCAAGTTATCAAGCTGTTTCAACAATTTTCTTCGGGCATTTGTATATTCCAATATGGTTCAGAACAATGGAAAAGTGATACTTTGAGAAAAACAATTTGCCACTATGTATAAAAGATGCCAACTCTTAAGAGGAGGCCATTTTGAACATTTGCTTTAACTTTATTGAAATTTACTTCGTGTAAATAATCGCTTATTGAAAATACAACTTTACGAACACTTAATTTTTTTCCAATGATTGGTTCATTTAATTTTTTGTTTCTTTTCAGAGTGAAAACTTTCAACGGCTTTCTTTGACTTCGGGGATAAAGTCAACTCAACGGTCTTCAAATTATGTATTTAAAAAATAAAAATATGGAAAGTTTTAACATAAGCATACTGGTAGCTTTTGTACAGAACGAACTTGCCAGAGGTATTACCTAATCATGAGCAGAAGGTTGGCCCCTTTAGGTTTATCTTTCCAGTCCAGAAAACTGCGGTCCTGCGGTGTTAAGTATCAGTGTTTGTATACAGCACTGGTGGCTTCACATCCACGGAAGAACAATTTTATTTATAGGGAAAATGATTAAAACACAAGTAAGTTTGTGATGTTATTTTATTTTAGTGGTTATAAAAAGCTAATGTAGCATATGCATTAGTTGGCATGTCACTTTTATATCTTGCTTCATAAATGCTAATTATTAATTTCCCCTAAATTGGGGTCTGTGAATTTCATGAACATTTTTACAACTTTGCTAAAAAATATATTGTGGATAAACATGTTTGTGTGTAGCACTTAAATGACTCGGTACAGTAATATGTGCAGTATTCTTTACTTCAGAATTCACAATGAAAATTCTATCTCCTAACAGACATGTGAATGGTCTTGTACATTATTAGGAGTATGCTTGAAAAACAAGATTACGAGTGTATACGGATTCAGTTGCTGCGAGAAAATGTTGCAGCCATACATTGGGGTCGAATTTGCATCCCTGGACTCTCCAGGCACCATGCTATGTACTACAAATGATGCACCTACAGTTTTTAAGGAAAATTTACAGGACTTAAAAATCAAGTGGGTGAGTTAAATTGAGCTCATGTTGGTCATTCAACAAAACTAGTACAGATTATAGTATTAGATATGACAGGAATAAATAATCATTTTCCATGTGCAATATTTTCATGTGGGAAGCCGTCACATTGGGTAAAAACAGCAAGTGTATATCGAGAAATTAGAAATTAGTACTAAGCCATTTACCATGTACAGTACTGTACATTCACCAGCTGCTTTTTTTAATCTTGTTTCCTCTGCTTGTACTCTTGATTAAGCACGCTCTTTCTATTCCAAATTCCCAGTTCATGTGTTACGGCTGGGAGTAGTATACTATCTGTCCTTTCCTAATTCCCATAACAGTATTCCTTTACTGTATTTCATTATACTGTTCATCTACCTCTTCTCTCATTACTTTCTCTTATGCCCTTCCACATTCCTATTTTCATAAGTCTTCAAATACTTAAGACTACCTATTCCAATTTCTCCTCCTCCTGGAAGGAACCTTGGTTTCAGTTTCTTGCCCCTACTATACTGTACTGTATATTCATTTGGCATTCACATTTGATCATTTTTCATTACATGGTCATTTAATTTGCCAAATATTTGAACGTTATCCAGAACATATTTTTGCCATCTCCATCTTAAATTACACTTGTTAGGCTTTCTGGTTGGAAATCCTATCTTCCACTTGCCCTTATAATTATACAAAAATTTTATTTATTTATAAACAAAATATTAGTCTGATTGCAATGTTTACATTGTACTTAAATTTTACTTAAATTTGTTTGGTAATACAGTATATGAATTATCATCTTGGATTGGTCTTTCAGTACTGGAACATAGAAATAGGGAATACAGTACAGTAATATTACCAATAGTACTTCACTTGGGACAAATTCAACTGTTCAGTGACTTTAATGACTTTTATGTATATTTATGGGCTTGATACACAGTGATGACTTAAGTTTGTCATGCCTGTCACTATAGCCCAAAGAAAAATATTTGTCTTCTGATGACTATGCTGTTACAAGGCCCTCAGCATGGACAGATACGGGACATACAATTTATTACATTTATTGATAATTTTTTCTTTTCTGTAATTAGAACTGTTCTTAGCCATTTATATTTAATACTGTATTGTAATAATGTACTTAATAGTGAAATAGCATCTTTACAAATAATGTAATAAATTCCTTTAAAGTGAAAAGGCCAGTCAGGCTTTAAAGTGAAAAAGCCTTTGGGTAGCTTGTGCAATGGTGAAGAGAGATCTATATGTCATTTTACAGAGTTGCATTTAAAGAAATATTAAACAGTGTTGATTGGTTGATTAAATTTGCTTTTCTAGTCAACTTTGGAAAGGGTTAATTGCTTTTCCAAACAAATTAAATTTAACAAAGCTATGAAATGAAGCTACACCTTTATGTGAAAGTATAGAATCTTTGTGTTTTGAACATGAAATTGTAAAAAAATACATGAATGCATGCTCTATGAATTTTGTGGAAGACATACATTTAACTTGTAATATTAAAGGTGTACAGTGAAGCATTTAATAATAAAGTACCTTTGGAATGATTCAAGATGTATGAAATTGTGTGAAAAATTATATGAGAGGGTATAGTTTAGGATAGAGCACAAATGTATTATATTTCAATAGAAGGCATTTCAGAAGAGTAATTTTTGGGCTGTATGTCCTTGAGTTTGAAGTGGCAGGCTGGCTGGAAAATATAGGTGGCTGTCGTCGCCAACCAGCCTAACCTCTTATTTATTATTTAATCATGATCAATCCCCTCCCCCTGCATAATGTTGTTATAAATAAAGTAAGAGATTCATAAATGTGATCTTATAATTCTAGGAGTAATAATAACGGTGTATTCCTCAGCTCTGCTTCACCTATAATCTTTAATCATCTCAATGTTCTACATGGAAAATGGCTTTGGCTAGGCTATGTATCAGCCAAGCATGCTTAACCATGGATAAGTAATGGAACAATACAGTGCCGCTTGTAGTTTGAACTGCATTGTCCCGCTCAGTCATGCACTTCATAGAATGTCCTCATTTTCAGGATGGTCATGAGTTTTGTTTTCCCAATTTTTCTTAGACATTTGCCCCTTAATAAAATTTTTGGTAAATTGGATACTTTTGATGTCGCTTGTGTTTTGTCTTTTTGCTCTGTATTGGAATCATTGATAATATTTAGGATGACCTTTTGTGATTATCCTGCAAGTCAAGTGGTGCTAAATAATCTTCCAGGTTTGGTGCCATCTTATGATAATTTCTTTTGCATGTTTTGTTTTGCCTTTTATATTAATCCTTGCATTTGTGCATTTCTTAAATTTTGATTTAAACATTTGTTTAAGATGGAGTTTTACAATATACTTCTTATCCCCCAGATTTGTAATGAGAGGTAACGAGGACGCTGCTATTAGCAACTATGACAGTACTCCACCGCATCGTGAGTGGCAATGTTAGTGAGTCATACAAAGAATATATGGATCAAAAAGCATTCATAAATGAAGGCAAATATAGTGTGTTCAATTATTGAGCATTTCTTTTATACAAGATAAAACCTGCCATTTGTCAAAAATTTTAAATCAAAATCACAAAATAACCACAAAAAGACCCCCCCCCCCCACACACCCTCCCGAAAGGCTGCTATGTGTCGGACAGCGCTTTGGATTTGTGGTCCTGAGGTTCCGGGTTCGAACCCCGGTGGAGGTGGAGACAAATAGGTAAAATGTTTTTCACCCTGATGCTCTTGTTATCTAGCAGTAAATGGGTACCTGGGAGTTACAGCTGCTACAGGCTGCTTCCTGGGGGGGGGGGGGGGGTGTAACAAAAAGGAGGCCTGGTCAAGGACCAGGATGCCAACCCCCCCCCCCCCCACACACCGAATGGCTTCCCCCCCCCCCATCGAAATGCTCCCCCCCACCACACCGAAAGGCTCCCCCCCACCACACCGAAACGCTCCCCCCCCCCCCCCACCGAAACGCTCCCCCCCCCCACACCGAAACGCTCCCCCCCCCCACACCGAAACGCTCCCCCCCCCCCACACCGAAACGCTCCCCCCCCCCCACCCGAAACGCTCCCCCCCCCCCACACCGAAACGCCCCCCCCCCCACACCGAAACCCCCCCCCCACACCGAAACCCCCCCCCCACACCGAAACGCCCCCCCCCACACCGAAACGCCCCCCCCCCCACCGAAAGGCCCCCCCCCCCCCACCGAAACGCCCCCCTCCCCCCCCACCGAAACGCCCCCTCCCCACACCGAAAGGCCCCCCCCCCCCACCGAAAGGCTCCCCCCCCCACACCGAAACGCCCCCCCCCCCCACACCGAAACGCTCCCCCCCCCACACCGAAACGCTCCCCCCCCCACACCGAAACGCTCCCCCCCCCCCACACCGAAAAGGCTCCCCCCCCCACACCGAAAGGCTCCCCCCCCACACCGAAACGCTCCCCCCCCCCCACACCGAAACGCTCCCCCCCCACACACCGAAACGCTCCCCCCCCCACACACCGAAAGGCTCCCCCCCCCACACCGAAACGCTCCCCCCCCCCCCACACCGAAACGCTCCCCCCCCCCACACCGAAAGGCTCCCCCCCCCCCCACACCGAAAGCTCCCCCCCCCCCACACCGAAACGCTCCCCCCCCCCCACACCGAAACGCTCCCCCCCCCCCGACACCGAAACGCTCCCCCCCCCACACCGAAACGCTCCCCCCCCCACACCGAAACGCTCCCCCCCCCCCACACCGAAACGCTCCCCCCCCCCACACCGAAAGGCTCTCCCCCCCCACACCGAAACGCTCCCCCCCCCACACCGAAAGGCTCCCCCCCCCCCACACCGAAACGCTCCCCCCCCCCACACCGAAACGCTCCCCCCCCCCACACCGAAACGCCCCCCCCCCCCACACCGAAACCCCCCCACACCGAAACGCCCCCCCCCCCCACACCGAAACGCTCCCCCCCCCCCACCGAAACGCCCCCCCCCCCACCGAAAAGGCCCCCCCCCACCGAAACGCCCCCCCCCCCCACACCGAAACGCCCCCCCCCCCACACCGAAAACGCTCCCCCCCCCCACACCGAAACGCTCCCCCCCCCCCCACACCGAAACGCTCCCCCCCCCCCCCCCTCCCCCCCCCCCACACCGAAACGCTCCCCCCCCACACCGAAACGCTCCCCCCCCCACACCGAAACGCTCCCCCCCCCCACACCGAAACGCTCCCCCCCCCCACACCGAAACGCTCCCCCCCCCACACCGAAACGCTCCCCCCCCCACACCGAAACGCTCCCCCCCCCCACACCGAAACGCTCCCCCCCCCCCCACACCGACTCTCCCCCCCCCCCCTCCCCCCCCCCACACACCGAAACGCTCCCCCCCCCCCACACCGAAACGCTCCCCCCCCCCACACCGAAACGCTCCCCCCCCACACCGAAACGCTCCCCCCCCACACCGAAACGCTCCCCCCCCCCCCCCCCCACACCGAAACGCTCCCCCCCCCACACCGAAACGCTCCCCCCCCCACACCGAAACGCTCCCCCCCCCTCCCCCCCACACCGAAACGCTCCCCCCCCCACACCGAAACGCTCCCCCCCCACACCGAAACTCCCCCCCCACACCGAAAGGCTCCCCCCCACACACCGAAAGGCTCCCCCCCCCACACCGAAAGGCTCCCCCCCCCCCCACACCGAAAGGCTCCCCCCCCCCACACCGAAAGGCTCCCCCCCCCACACCGAAAGGCTCCCCCCCCCCCCCCCCCCCACACCGAAAGGCTCCCCCCCCCCCACACCGAAAGGCTCCCCCCCCCACACCGAAAGGCTCCCCCCCCCACACCGAAAGGCTCCCCTCCCCCCACACCGAAAGGCTCCCCTCACACAAAAAGGCTGCTCCCCTCCCCCACTTTCCCACCAAGAGACTGCCCCCGTTCCCACCGAAAGACTCGCTACTTCCCCCCCCCCCCTCCCACCAAAAGGCTACTTATTTCCCCCCACCAAAAGGCTACTTCCTCCCCTTTCCCATGGAAAGGCTGCTGCCCTTGTATGTTCTCGAGGCATTGCTTGTATTCCCTGACTTTCCATATTACTATTCAACCCAGCATCTGTGTTCATTTATATTACAATAATGTCCCAACATCTGTGCTCAGTACATCACGTGTGTGTATACAGGTGTGGGAAGATGGCTCGTATGGTGATCTGGCATCTGTTCCCAGTCTTCATAGCAGTCAGGTGAGCTACTCTTGTGTAATTTTTTTCAGTTAAAAGGTTTTCATGAACAAGTGCAAGAAAATGTAAAAGAACAAATTGTGGTCTAGGTCTTTGATGTTACATTTCTGCCAAGACAAGTTATCATTGCAGAAATGATAACCAATAATTGTAAAAATAGTGTCTCTCTTTGTGCCATATTGTGTTCTTTCAAGGTTTTTACCCTCCTAACATTCATGCCTTGTAAACCTCTGAAGTTCTTATTCTTGAGAGGGATTATATACAGAAGCATACCTGAATATTTGTTAAAAGGTTTGCCATGATTTGGCAATCATAAACACCTACTCGGTCACCACTTGAACTAACAAAGAAGATTGTGTTTAAAAAAAGATACTTGAAATTCCCTGTAGTTCATGTTTTCCACTAATAAATTGTATCTTTGGAAAAAATATTATTCTTTGAACTGATATAAAATTGTCTTCAGATGGCAGATGATGGTCATCTATCTTAACCCAAAATATTACAATATACCTTGCTATGACAAGGTTATAACAGCAGCATTTAACAAAAAATATAGTGTAGGAAAACATAAAATTTATATTTTCTTGCTCACCAATAAATCACAGGTATGGGTCACAATAACAACTGACTTTGAAAGTAACACTTAATCTAAATACATAATCATGACAGCTTACCAAAGCAGTACATATATTCCTAATCATAATATACCCTAATATAACAACCAAATACAATACTGTATAAGAAAATAAGTTTAAAGTTAAAAGGTTTTCATAAAGTGCAAGAAACAAATACACCTGGTATTTTTAGGTACCAGACAATAATAGAAATCATAATTCCATACAAGGTATTTTTCTTCACAGCACCTCAACTAAATCCCAGTGTTGTTTTCTAACTTCTTCGAGGTTTATAGGTTCCATCGCCTTTGGAAGCTCAAACACTAGCCCCCCTTCTATTTCCTTGGTACTGTATTTTGGAACCTTATAAAAATACCAGAGATTGCAGAATGAGAGGCAAGGTAATTTCCACCCTTGGCTTATTACCATCCATCTTGTCTTAACTTCCATGTAGGCGAGATACATTAAAATACAAAATTCTTACATTATACAAACTTGTTGGAAAACTGACTCGTGGGATTTTATTATTTATTTTAATTACAATTATTAATTAGTTTATAATTACATTTATTTTGATAGCGGACTGTATCATTCTAATTATCCCACAAGTTGGGGGTTTATTAATAATCGCCTAATTGAAGTTAATAGGTTGGCTCAAATTTGTTAATCGTTGATCTACAAAAATGGTTAGTATTAATTAACCAGAGAACAGCTTAGCTATTTTGTAAAATGTGGCCCGGTTAATGAACAATAAACACGTCCATGTTGCATAAGCTGAATCTTTAGTGGACTAGTCTATAATGGCGATGTAGCATGCTTCTCGTTGCACCAGGTAATTTGTTGTAATTCTTCTTCCCCTTCAATTTCACCTGTCAAAAGGACACACAGTAATACTGTAAATCGTAACCAATATATGACGGCTATATCAGGGAAAATAATTATTCTATTTAATTAATTTAGGCTTGCCCAGCATCCTAACCACTTGACATAACATACAAATATGGCCATAAAAGTACTGTAGATTAATAAGTCAAACGGTATAGAATACTTCCCTATTTGCTAGTGAAGGTGTGCTGATAGGAGTTTTGGCATATTACAACACTTTCCCTAAAGGGAAATATTCGTAGAGGTTTGCGAGCATGCTCGCAGGCAAGACTGTTGTTATTTTTGTTGTTAATGGCATCTCTCCTCCCTCCCCGATCAAGCAATATGTCGAGAAATCGGTTCCATTTTATTCGGCAATAGTTACGTTATTTAATATATTTGGTTGCAAATTATTCTATTTAATACAGGAAGGTGTTTTTTGTCAAATACAGTCGTCAAATACATGTAAATAACAAAATAAATGGCATAAAATTACCTATTCCCCATATCATTCCAATGATAAAATGGGAAGTGAGAAATTTCATTGGCTCAGTTAAGTGTTGACCCCTCAGTTAATTTGTAGGTGCTTATGGAATGAAATTCTGCTACCTATAATCGTCCATCTCTAGGTTGATTTACCTAATTTTCAGAATTATCAGAAGTTTTGCTTTCCTGTTCCTATATGCTATATCGGTAAATTCCTTGGTGAATCACTCCTTCGATATAGATCACCGAATGTCTCGTGGGTCTTCTGTGACGTGAAAATTAGTGCTATTCTATGGTTGCACTATTCTGTAGTGATATTCTATAGCACTATATTAGTGCTATTTTATATATTCTCCTCTTATCTATAGTTGCTAGGTGGAGGTTCAAATATTAAGTGAAAGAACCAAGGGAGGTTATGTGAGAGAGGTTTTGATAAAGAGGAATCCACAGGAATGTGGTGGTGTTAAGTTAAATTTAATTTTGTTTCAGATCAGGTTACAGTGGATTAAATAAGGATCAACTTCTGTCTACAGCATCAGTACAGCGAATCTAAGGACATAATCCTCAGCTGTACAGAACATAATACAAGAAAGAATGTTTGGCACAAATAAAACACTGGCATTTTCAGGAATCTTGGCATTTGTCCTCTACTGGAATGGAACTCTTCAGAAAATTTCATGCTTCGTTTCCTCCAGTCTCTTTTCATCCTCCTTTTATCTCTTTCCTTCCACATATTTTCTTAATCTTGTACCTGTGAATGAAGATACTGCATCACAAATGGAGGAAACCAATGAAAAATTGGCAGTTGAGCATAAGTAAGTTATTAATGTACATGAATGGAAGTTGAGCAACAGATTAAATTTGTGTTAGAATCTGGAACAGTTAATTCGTAGTGGATGTCAATAGCAATTATATTAAATGTAATATATAGTGCAGTGATTCTGTATAAATATGAATGTTGAGTGATTACTGGACTTTTATTTGACATTTAGGATATATGAAAGAAAAGGTATGAAAAACAAAGATTTTAAATTTGCACTTGGTTATGTAAGGTGCTAGGGATTCACTTTGATTTCCTTCCAGAAGGGAAGGTTTAGAGGCTCATTTCTTTGCATAATTTCAGTTTTCTCTTGTTACCTTTTTTTTCTTTCTGGCACGACGTTTTGTATCCAATGTTGTAGTTTCATATCGAGCAGCATTACTGAAACATTTTCAAGTTGAGCACTGGCAGCTATCCTTCGAATCCTATTTTTATTAATTGTGGTAGACTGTACTAGTTCTCAAAATGTGGTCCATTGCTTCCCCTGTGGTGCCTTTTTCCAGTATGTAGGGCCATAAGTTGGTTATGATACCAGAGTATACCAGAGGGGCCTTTACTAGGTGTAGGGGGCCATTAATAAGGATGCAATATGAAAGAGGTAATGATTGTAAAGAGTTTGGAAACCACTGTGGTAGAACATTCTTTACTATTCACCCTGCTCATGCACTGTTGAAGATTGTATTTGTTTTCTTAGGTTTCAGGTCTGATACGCTCAAGACTGCCTTTATTACTAGCATTGGTTACTAGTCATTAGGTTAGCGAGTTGCATTTGTTATATTTTATTCAATATTTTGTTTCCTTTGTAAGAGGTGAACTTGGTGATATTTGTGTAACATTATGATTAGGAAAGGAAGGTCCTGAAGAATTATTTTAATATACTAAGCAGGAATTCTGTTACCAGTGATGAGCTGACAACATCATTCCCTGCATAAAGTTACAGTACACAGAAATTAAGAGATTATTTAAAAACAAAGATTTTGATAAAGAAGTTTAGTTTAATAAATACACGTGCAGAAATATGCAAATCCTAGTTTTTATAAGTACAAAATATACAAGTTTTTATAAACAGAAATATACAAATCCTAGTAGAACACTAAAATTATATTTCTGTTTCAGAATACTGTTTGACAATTTAAACACAATGGTTACATTCATGGAAAATCTCATTGCAACAAATGGTGAAGGGACAACTAGCAAAGAGGAGGAGGAATTAATAAATGAAATGGTATGTTGACTAAATCTAGAAATGTTGTAGCAAGCAACTGGTAGTTAATAAAATTTTTAAGTTCTTTTTAGTGTTGTGTAATGTTGCCTTGTTATTTTGTTGCAAATCTCCAGTTGGTAAATTTACAGAAGAATTAATGACATTGCACAATGTACCTTGCACTATTTAGAAATGAAAGTTCCAGCAGCATGTGATGCTGGCAAACATTAGATCATCATTTAAAAGCCTAAATCAGGACTTGCAAGACAATCTCCTCAATTTTTGTTTGACCAGTACTGGAATCTACACTTAGTGAAGCATAAAACTGGAATTGAAAAAAGTACAGGAGTTTGCAACAAAATTGGTGCCAGATCTAAGGGGGCTGACCATTGAGGATAGGCTAAACGAACTAGATCTCTCAACTCGAGAGGACAGAAAATAGGAAATGTGATCATAACATAAAAGAAAATGAGGGGAAAGAGACAAGATGGACAAAGAGAGCCTCTGTATAATGTAGATAATATTTTGTAATAAATAGACAAGCTATTTTTCCTTGTCTATATCTAGCTCATGTAGATTGGCTGTATCAGTTTGGTTTATATTCTAGGATTTAATACAAGAACTTTTTATGAGTACTGCAGGGTTTACCCTAGGATGTGGTTACCTGTAGGTAACCACCTACAGGTAACTACAGGTTTTTATATCTACTGCTATTTAACCTAATGCTAATCTAGCCCATGTCTTTAGGTCATAATAACCTTATGATATTTTTATTTTTAAGGTTTCTTCAGTGGACCATCTATTAAATGAAGCACTGAAGTTTGAGGCAAACTTTGACAATAATTTACAGATGATTTTTGCCAAAGCTCGCAGATGCAATGATGCTCTTAAAAGAATCCTTGGTAGAAAAGACCAAGATACAAAGCAACAGAAGAAATGGGGGTGATAAAGACTCTGAGTGAGGAAATAAGTTAAACAAGTTGAATGCTGATGTCATCTATGATCTTGAATCATTTTTATATACTGTACCTGTATATGTATGGTGCATGAATGTTTCCCGTAAATTTTAAGTAGTTCATGTTCATCTGTGCCTGATTACTAGGTGCTGAAATGAATGTGTAAAATTATATGCAGTATATATATAATATATACACAAAATGTGAAGTGATTGTGAAATAGGATTGAGTTTTTTTTTTTTTTTCAAAATTTTTTTGTTTTGCATGCCCTAAATAGTGCCTAATTTATCTTATCTATTTCTTTGAAAATGCTGATCATTCTATAGAGTGAAATTTATGTATATTGCATTTATTAGGAAAAGAATGATCAGCTGATATGGTAAAATATGTATCTAATAAAATATTTAATTGCATGACCAGTTTTATTTGGATTAAATGATTCCTTGTTTAAATGACTAATATTCTTTTTCAAACTTGAATGTGACACAAAACTATAGATAACAATCTAGATTATGAGGAATGTGAAAGGCTGATATAATGGCATGTAGTGGTCCCATCTAAAGTCTGCCATTTATGAAATTTACATAAAGTATACAATATTTTCAATTATTGGACTCCTTCAAGGGTGTAAAAGCGACATGACAAAGGTACAGGTTAGGTTTAGTCATATTTCTGTGCTAGTTTTAGCTCAAATTAAAAAAAATGGAGGAATCTTTAAAGCATAGTATCTATATTTGTTAAGTTTTTGTGTTTGTCTATATTTGTGTTTTCCTAAATCGAAGAATGTGAAGTTTATCGTTCTATGCCTACTTCTAATGTCTTAAATGTTTACATTTTCTCGTGTAGTGATCAAGGCAGTGTCCATCACAGATTCTGCAGTTCTTGTTTCCGTCCCAAGTCTATGGCTATTTGTATCCAAAACGAATTCTTGTTATTACTGATTTTCCTGTGGCCACCTCTTCATCCATAATGACTGGGTGTGCTAGCTGCAACTATATTGTACTAATGTACAGATTCACTTATTTTTTGTTCTATCCTCCTTTCCTCGGTTACCTTGTCATGGTGATGTTGCCTTATAATACAGTACCTCTAATTTGTAGAAGAGTGTAATTGGATATGGAGTATTCAATATGGTCTGTGAAATTCCTGGGTAAATACTGGTTTGGAAACGGTTGTTGATTTATGAAACAAATTACATCTCGGGTCCCATAACAGATGTGGACTCTATACATTGTTTCAAGCATAGGTTAGACATATATATGAATGAGTTTGTATATAAATTGTAATTGCATCATATAGACGAATAGGCCATCAGCGGATACCTTTATTTTAATGATCTTATTGTTTCGAGTGTAGGTTAAAAATATATATGAATAAGTCTGGGTGGCTATAAATATAGGAGCTGCCACGTGATGAACATTTTGCAATTTTTTTTTATGTTCTTTGAAGGTAAGGGAACTATCACGGGACAGCACCAAGCCATTACGACTATAGCACTTCGAAGGAGTCAGGATAAGGAATTGGGATGGGACGGTGGGGAGGAATGGTGACCAACTACTTGGACGGTCGGGGATTGAACACCGACCAGCATGAAGTGAGACCATCGCTTATCTAAAGTACATAAGTGAATTACTTTAACATACATAATTTTCAAATTGCAACTTATTCTTGTGTCTTTATCTACAGAAAAACACAATCTCAATTGTGGCTCGTCCAGCTACGAGTTTAAGAGAATTCGTATTTATACAGTATTTATACTACATTCCTGAGTTTGTGTATTTTTTATACATAATACTATTAATTTATTAATTAGCATTATCATTAATTATTAGCTTATTAGTTATTAATAATTATTAATATTAATTAATATTTTTAATATAATAATTACTTATATATAACAAAATTGTAACATAATTTGTTATATTATATATAACAAATTATATATATAACAAAATATATATATATATATATATATATATATATAATTTTCCACGTCTGACGTTGCACAGTATATCCTGTCAAGACCAAAGATCACATTCACTAAACATCTACCACTTACGGGCTACTCATGCTCGCACCACCTCTTGGGTAGCTCAATCTTCATCAATCAATCAATCGATCTGACGTTGCGCCATTCCAGGCGCTAATAACACTAATTAAGAATAATGCCTTTCATCGCGGAAATGAAGAAAAAGCACGTATAGAGAACTATGCCTCTTCAACGCAAGCAGAGCTAACTATGGTGTTAAGATTCCTTGAACGAAACACTAATGGTGCAGTGTTCTGCACTGATTCAAAAGCAGAGCTACAAAGCCTTAGTTAAAATCGGGCAGGAAATCTTGCGATAGTCGCTTAAATCAGAAGCTGTGAGGGTACTAACCAATTGGGGAAGAGTCGTCAAATTTCTGTGGATCCCCTCCCATGATGCCATGTGCTGGCTGTTGAAGGAGACCATATTGAATACTTCATATCCAAGACTTGTACAAATTAGAGGTATTATCAGACATCACCGTGATAAGGTAACTGAGGAAAGGAGGATAGAAGCACAAACCAGTGAATCTGTACAATAGTACATGGTTGCAGCTAACAATCCCTATCATTATGGACGAAGAGGAGGTGGCCGCGGGAGACTCAGTAATAGCAAGAATCCGTCTTGGATACAAATATCCATGGAGATTCGGAAAGGAAACCACAGTTGAGCAGTAGGGTTGCAGAATTTGTGGTGAGAGTGACGGACACCGCCTTGACCACTGCTTGAGAGAATGTGAACATCTAAGAGTCATTAGAAATATGTGTAGAATAATAAACCCCACACTGTTTGAGTTAGGAAAATACTATTTGTCAAATATAGATACTGTTCTTAAAAGATGCTCCCATTTTGCACCCGCAAGATAACGTAAGATTTTAAGGTTTGACAATTGTTAATCTTGTTTGATTAGCTGTTCACTTGAGACAGTTAAACAAGTCCCAGCTGTGTCTGGGTACAAGTAATAATAATAATAATAATAATAATAATAATAATAATAATTTATTCAGGAAAAGTACATACATAGATCATCGGGGCAATATAGCACATATGCATAGTACATATATAGATCATCGGGGCAATATAGTACATATACATAGTACATACATAGTACATCGGGGCAAATTAAAACAATTAATTATAGGGTGTAGAGAGCGCTAGTTGAGACGTGTGGTGCTGTAGCAGCCCCTAACCCATTCCTACAACATCAACAAACATGGCGTCAACGATCGAGAGCAAGGTAGAGGAGCGGAAAGATACCAATGAAAAACCCGTCGATAGAGAAAAGGTAAGTGTCTTTATGAATAATAAACCCCTGGTCTGTATTTATTTCATAACGAGTACAAAATTGTTTCAAGGTAATGGTGTTCCTTTCCTCAGATGAGTGACCTTAAGAGTAGTCGCTCTACGCCATCACTACTCATAGAAACCTAACAGCGAAAATTAGACCGGTAGTGAGAGAGGAAAGATAAAATTCTCGTTTTTACCATTAACTGGCAATGGAAAAGATTTTAAGCATATGATTGCCACATACAAAATTGTGACAGGAAGCTACAAAAGCTGAAAAGGAAAAACTTGAAACCTGCAACGTCTAGATTCTAGAAAGGGGCCACAGACTTGAGCTTAACAAAATAAAAATTCCGAAAAATACAGTCTCCGAAAGTTCTCTCTTTGTAAACAGAGTTGTGGACGGTTGTAACATTTTAATTGAGGCAGTAGTGGTTGAAGCTGAAAAAACCTCTGCTGTTTGCAAGTATTGCATGACAGTATAGGGAAGACATGGCACCATGAGCGCAGCCCTCTTCCTGTAACTACACTTGGGTTATTACTTGTCCTGCAAGTAATATTAAAATCACTGCAAAGTGATTTTAAGGCTAAATAGTTATCAATGTATCTATATGAATCAGTAAACTTCACCCTGCATGACAACATTATATAGTGATGATCATAATTTTACCAGTGGAACCCAAGTACAGTTTCCAAGTTGTGCAAGACATTTGGGCATGTTTCCTTACATCTAATGCCTCTGTTCGCGTAGCAGTACTGGTTATTAGACAAACGTTGAGTTACAGGTATATACTAACTCAGAAAGGTCAGTCATTAGCCTAGAGGGGTCCTCGATAAGCTTAACAAGCTCCCTGATGTCGACAGTTGCAAACTGTAAAGTTGTGGAGCATTTCCAGTGCATGTGTACAAATATTCAAATAAGAAATGTATTCAAAAATTTGATTTATTCCATTGAAGCTTTGCCCAAAGTTAACAAAACATTTAATTTCATTTTTTTTACCAAAATTAGGCTTGCATAATGTGCAAATTAGAATTATGCACATTTTCTGATATTTTGATATTGCATGGAAACAAATACATTTTTAAATATTTTAAGATTTTAGTCATTACCAATTTTATTCTTGTAGGTACAACCAGATTGTAAGTGTGTGGTTGCATTTATATTTACATTGAAATGTGTTCCATTCCAGCGATATACAGTACCACTATCTTTTATAGGATGCACCTGTACTATTGCTGCCATACCATATTAATTTTGTCCTAATGTGTACCAGGTAAATTTCAAATTTAGGGGAACTATCCCTTAGACAAGAGATTTTCCCCAAAAAATGTTTCAGTGGTAGACTTAGTACATCTGTAAGTTCCTTTATGACATTTTTGGATTGAATTCCATCCACATCTGGGGCTTTTAAATTTAATTTGCTAATGCTGTTCCTGATAATTTTGCATGTTATGGGAATTCATACACAACCTTGTTCATATTCATACCCTTTCATATTTATACCCTCAATTAATACTCTTTCCCTGCCTCTAGGATTTGTGTGGTAATTTGGAATGTTATTTTGATGTTTGCTTTTAGTGTGAACACTGATGTAAAGAACTGATTTTAATTCAGTGTTGGCTGCCCTTTTATTGTCACTTATAATTTGGTTGGTCTTATCGTTTAAGGATTTTACAGAGTTTAAGGGTTTTGTTTTACAACTCTTATGGGCATAGATTTTGGATCTTTCTTTGTTTTGAGCAAGTTTTCTTTAATATAGTTTTGTTTGGCATTTCCGGGCCTTTTGTAGTTGAATTTTATGCCCAAAGATTGCACATAGTTGTTAGGTTTTTTCCTGCCTGTTTCATCCATCAAGTTCTTTTTCTCTTCCTTTTCTTTCTTGGCACATAATTTTGAACAAGTTCAGTGATTTTTTTTTAACCTATGGTGCTTCTGGGCCGTGACTAAGGATTAACTCCCTTAATCCCTTAATTAACTCTCAATCTGTGAGGGGATTATTTAACTCCCTCTATGAGGTGTTTTGTAATTCTTCTCATTCCTTGATAGTCTCTTTGAAGGTAGTCTAGAAGGTCATCATCCTGGACCTATTGGATTGTTCTAAAACTAAATACACTGAGTTTGAGATACTGTATAAAAAATTGTCCTCTGCAATCCTATGAGACTTTTATCATCATTTTTATTTATTAAAAGTTCCAATAAGAGCATTAAGTTGCCAGTGGGCTTCTGGTTCTGTACAAATAATTTAATGCAGATCTAGGAGTCATGAATACTGACTACTCTTATTTGTCCGGACTATATTCGAAGGACACCCTCACCGGATAAGCAGGAATTCCTACTGGGAAAGTCCAAAAGTAAATGTACTGTATTTGCAATTTTTTTGTTTTTTATTTTTTGTACATACCACAACCAACTTATTTCCACATACACACTCCAAGATGTACTACAAGATCAGGGAAGGATTTAAAGAATTTTGTCAACAAATTTCAGCTTGCCTTGTTGTTCATCTGCTTGATTGATGAAGACCTTCAGATTGTTCATTTATGTAATCTAACACACTAACATTGACATTTTTTGTAGTGTAAAAAATATTTGTACATGCAATACTGTACTGTATTTAAAAACAATCGCCATGATGAAATCTTGAGGATTGTATCTACATAAAACCATGAGTTTACTGTATTTTAAATAAGATTTAGTGTTTGAATAAAGGAAATATTAAACATGTTAAGAAACGTAATTATACTAAGAGGTAGGTGTTAATCTAGTTTATAGGTCTAATGTGAGTAAGTACTGCACAATTCTTTTAGCAGAGAATGAAGGAGATTTGTATAGACAAGATGAATTTTTTTTTAAGTTAAATGAGGGATGACAAAAAAGAATTTAACATATGGCAAGTGGAAAGAGAAGGAAATTGTGTGCATGATAAATATCTGATTATTGTTGTGAAGTGCTGAGTAGTAAGTAGGTTTAAATACATGGTATGTGAGATTAGTAAGAGGAATTTGTGAAAGCACAATTGTGAGTAGGAGCAGTCAGGGAAGAAAAATGGCTAGTGCAATGAAAGATCTGATTAGGAAAAATAAGATTGGTAAAGATGCAGTTTGTACGAAGGAATGGGGGGTGCCAACATTTGTGTATGGGTGCATGACATTAGTGTTATAAACATGAAGAATCTGAAATTAGAGAACAGAAGAAATGGACTACCAAAGAAGTGTGTGTGTTAGGAGAATATCCCAGGTATTTAAACCTATTTACCATCTAGACTAATGAATGAAAATGTAATGGAGAGAGATGGTTTTCCAATCAGGTTCAGGTTCATTTTTATTTTTATGTAGGGGGGGGGGGAAGTTGACTGACAGTTTAGAGACATGTCGAAAGAGAAAGAGCTCAACCCCCACAAGCACAACTAGCTGAATACAATAATTGCCTGACTCTTAGGCACCTATTTATTGTGCTGTTAATGATTATTGAAGAGTGGTAATAAGTGTTTATATGTGATGCCATGTTGCATTGTGAATGAAATACAGTACTGTAATGAATAGATGAATAGATTCCATTTTTATTCTCTGGACTGATGCTTTCCCACCCAGTGAAAGTGGTAAATGGGGTAATGATTATGTACTGTATATAGTCTTAATAAATTCTTGTGATCTAAATTTTCAACATTCATGTTTCTAGGACAGTTGGACATTGTTACATCAATTTTGTACAGTAGTGTTACTTATTTAATTTTTTCAGACCTGCCCATTATTGCTGCGAGTATTTTGTTCAAATGGAAGGCATAATAATTTAACAGAGTATAGAAGAGGCAACACACCCCCAAATGAATTACAGATATATACTTGGTGAGTTTTGAAGTCATTGGTTAAGGAGTCAAGCTTTGTGATATACAGTATGTAGAAAATTATATTGTACTTGCCCATTAGTTATAAGTTTGATCAGAAAAGATATGCCCATCTTTAGCAGTAATACAAGTGTGTAACATAATTGAATAATCAGGTACCCTAAGAAGGGTGCTGGAATAAACAAAAATTCTCAAACAAATGTTTAAATTCATCCATCTCAAAGTATAATAGTACTGCACACTGTTTAAAAATTATTTGGGTGGCTCATACTGAAAGTTAATTAGCCAATGAATTTATTACTTATGCTTATGTTTTATTTTACCAGGCTGGATGCAACCTTAAAAGAGATTGGTGGTCTGATTCTGGAAGTAAACCCCGACACAAGAAGACGCGGGACAATGTTTGAGTTTCGGCTAGTTTATCCAGAACTCACGAAACCTATTCCCCGCATGAAAGATCTGGGTTCAATAGTTATTGGAGAAAAAGGCTTTGATGACAACAAAACTCTGCATCAATTAGGGTGAGTACTTTTATTTATCTTTTTAACTGCTAGACAAGTATATGACTAAAAGTACTGTATACAGATAGCTTTGAAGTCACAAATACAGTACTGTATTGCTGACTGCTATATACTGACAATACGATGAGAAGTTAAATTATCTGTCTTTAGGGGTCATCAGAGTACTTGGTTACAGCTTTAGCACAACATAATGAGAACATGAGGAAAGCCTGGGAGAGAGCATGATACAGTAAAAGCCACTTTGTGGTAGTTCTTAAGATAAATGTCCCCCGTGGCCCAGTCTTTGACCAAGCCTCCCGGTCAGAGTATAGCCAAATTGATTGGTTTTAGTGTTCTAGTGGTTAATGAATGAGTAATAATATGATTTAGAGTATAACCTTCTTGCTGTGACAAGTGGATTTTTTTTATGCTCTTGAGGTTCTACATTCAGTGGAAACTGTCCAGCTAGGTCCTTTGCTTTTCAAAACTGATACATGTACCCAGTATGCAACGGTTGATCACAAGACAAGTGATAAGACAGATCGCAGAACTCGCATGTTAGCAAGCCACAATAGAGGATGCTGCTGCTCCTCTGCTCCACCAGCCACGCCTTCCATCGCCACTGCATCCCATTGAGTGGGTAGCAGCTGAAGTGAGCTGTCTACCGTCGCATGTATAGTCCAGGCCACCTGCACCATGATGCACAAGGTTAAAGTTTGCTTCTGCTGCTACCCCCTCAACGGGATGCAGTGTCAATGGAAAGCATGGCTGAACTTTTGGCAAAAATCTCTACCATTACCAATTTCTCACCAGCTAACATTCAGGAGACTAAAGAGTGCAACCCTGCTCTTCTCCAGTGATTTGGACTGTGACATGCTATTCAAGCACAGAAATCAGTTACCAGTCTCCGTGGTGTAGTGGCAAGACACTCGCCTGGCGTTCCGTGAGCGCTTCCCCCCCTGCTGAATACCTTTGATTTGTAGCCGATTTTACAAATACAGTATTAGAAGAACGATGATCTAGTGTTAAGATTAATGCTGTTCGAATGCATTTATTTGTGACCATGTGCACACTCACTCTTTTTGCTTTAAATTTGTATTTGTATATACTTTTGCCTAGAGATAAACTTAATGGCATCATAATTTCTTCTCCACAGATTTCTCATTGGAGATTTCCTGGACATAGCCATTACTAACCCAGGCAGAGGACTTCCCCAGCGACGCATGCGACCATATTAGTGAGTCGCACAACTTAAGAACCAATGAGTGATTATATATGAAGGCAAATGCAGTACATATTATTCCACCTCAAATATTTATCATTTAGTTTCATGAAAGATAAAGCATCATTTACCATAATTTGGTCAAATGTTTGTGCAAGTTACATTTTTGGGTGTTCACTTAAAAGGAAATACCTGTATTTAGTCAGCAACTTAATGTGTAAATGATAAATAATATTGTAAGTAAACAGTTAAACAGCTTTCTTATGAACAAGAAATTTAGTTACCACTTTACTGAGCTAAAATTGGTGAATGTCCTAAGATTACTGCTACAATTGTACAATATTTCCCTCATTTCTCTATTTTTGGTTTTGATTTCCTTTGCATTTTGTGGAACTTATTGCTCCTGCATATTACCACACAAATATTTTTAAAGTTTTGTATGAAACATGCACACTATGTAGAATTACTTAATAAAAATTGTGCTTATTTTAGCAATATAGTTGACCCCTTACATAATGCCTTTCTATATATACAACATTTTAGTGCAGGAAGTAATTACTAAAAATATTTTCATAACATGGAACTATGTATGCTCACTTGTTCATACTGCCTGAAAGCACTAACATTTTACTCCTTACAATGGAGAAAAAAAAATACATTGACAATATGGAAGGTCAGGTCCCAAACCTATACAGTGAAATTATAATGTAATGGAACAAGAGATGTGGTAGGAATTGTAAAATAAATCCAATCAAACTTTTTGGGCTTCTGTAAACAAAAGTGTAAACATGTCTGTCAATAAATAAATATTGCTGGAACAGCAGTAGTTTTCACTGGATCAGCCTGGCTCTGTGACCCTGCAGGCTACAAAGACTTAAGCTTTGTAGTTTTTGTATGTCTTGTAAACCAGGCTGCAATTTTAGAAATACTTAAATCAACACTACATGATACCCTCAGTGAGTAACATAAGGACCTTGTTCCAAGCCAAAGTAAATAGGGCTAGCTGTAAAGATCTAAATACAGGCTGTTCCCCCAATTATAAACAAGTTACATTCCGAGTGTTTTTGCAAAGCATTTGTTCGGAACGTAGATAGATTTTCCATAGGTGCAATGCTATGTGGGAGATACGTTTCCAGGCCATCAAAAATCTTCACAAAACCAATGTTTGGGGCATAAAAATAAATAAAAATAAATAAAAATAAATAAAAAGTGTATATATATATATATATATATATATATATATATATATATATATATATATATATATATATATATATATATATATATGTCGTACCTAATAGCCAGAACGTACTTATCAGCCTACTATTCAAGGCCCGATTTGCCTAATAAGCCAAGTTTTCATGAATTAATGTTTTTTCGACTACCTAACCTACCTAACCTAACCTAACCTAACTTTTTCTGCTACCTAACCGAACCTAACCTATGAAGATAGGTTAGGTTAGGTTGGGTAGGGTTGGTTAGGTTCGGTCATATATCTACGTTAATTTTAACTCCATTAAAATAAAATTGACCTCATACATAATGAAATGGGTAGCTTTATCATTTCGTAAGAAAAAAACTAGAGAAAACATATTAATTCATGAAAACTTGGCTTATTAGGCAAATCGGGCCTTTCATTGTAGGCTGATAAGTGCGTTCTGGCTACTAGGTACGACATATATATATATATATATATATATATATATATATATGTCGTACCTAGTAGCCAGAACGCACTTCTCAGCCTACTATGCAAGGCCCAATTTGCCTAATAAGGCAAGTTTTCATGAATTAATTGTTTTTCGACAACCTAACCTACCTAACCTAACCTAACTTTTTCGGCCACCTAACCTAACCTAACCTATTAAGGTAGGTTAGGTTAGGTAGGGTTGGTTAGGTTCGGTCATATATCTACGTTAATTTTAACTCCAATAAAAAAAAATTGACCTCATACATAATGAAATGGGTAGCTTTATCATTTCATAAGAAAAAAATTCGAGAAAATATATTAATTCATGAAAACTTGGCTTATTAGGCAAATCGGGCCTTGCATAGTAGGCTGAAAAGTGCGTTCTGGCTACTAGGTACGACATATATATATATATATATATATATATATATAATGACATTTACCTTAAATGATGGAGGTATATCCTGCTTGTCAAAGTTAGCTGGTTTTGAAGGAAATAGTATAATTACATGAATAAATAAATGAAAATATATACGCACTGTATTGATGATCCACCATTTTGTAATTGGCCTAGAGTAAATGCCTCCCTAACCTATTATCTCCAGCCCAGGGCCTCACCCCACTAATAGTCAACACCATCAAATCATGTGAGTGCGAGTCACTGGGTATCGGGAATGTATCTCACACCCCCACACAACCCTACAACCCTATGTACCTACCCACCCCCCATCCATACAATATTGTACTCCACGTGGCTTGCATCTGGATGTTTGTGCTGCCAAGAAATTCAGAGGGATGCTACAGTGAGTTAGTACAATGATTTTATGCACAAAGAGGTTACATGAGCACCTTGTAGAATGTTCATAAATGGGAACTCTCTGTAGTGCAAATACATATGAAGAAATTCAAGGTAGAATCAAAGTTATGACCAAACTCCTATGTCTGGATGGGAAAGGAGGGGGAAGGGGGAATGACAAGTAGTACTGTTTAGACAAAGCTGTAGTAATACCTTTGGAATGAACATGGAAAATGATATGGAGAGAACTCACTAAAGGGCAATTCAGAACACTACCAACTAATGCCTGTGGGGCTCTAAAGCAGAAAAGATGGTCAATAATCCCGACTCACTTGGTAGAGATTACACACACACACACACACACTTGAGAGCAGAGAAAGATACCAGAGTGCCAGGAATATGTCAGGTTGAGAAGAGAGGCAGAAGGGCAATACGAAAATGACATCGCAAGCAAGGCAAAGACTCAACCTAAATTGCTGCACAGCCATATCAGGAGAAAAACAACAGTAAAGGAACAGGTAATGAAATTAAGAATGGAGGTAGACGGATTCACTATAAACGACAAGTGTGCGAGGAACTGAATAAGAAATTCCAGGAGGTCTTCACATTAGAGCAAGGGGAAGTTCCAGAGATAAGAGGGGTAATAGTTAACCAGGAACCACTAGAAGAGTTTGAGAGTACCAGTGGGGAAGTAAGGAAGCTTTTACTCGAGTTGGATGTGACAAAGGCTATAGGCCCAAATGGAATCTCCCCTTGGATACTAAAAGAAGGAGCAGAAGCACAGTGCCTACCACTCTCCATGGTGTATAACAAATCACTGGCAACGGGAACTGCAAAGAATTTGGAAAGCGGCTAATGTAATTCAGATATACAAGAAGGGGGGATAGACAGGAGCCACTGAACTATAGGCCAGTGTCCCTAACGTGCATACCATGCAGGCTGATGGAGAAGATTGTGCGAAAAAAGCTAGTGGAACATCTGGAGCGAAAGAACTTTGTAACACAGCATCAACATGGGTTCAGGGATGGCAAGTCCTGCCTCACAAGATTAATTGAATTCTATGACCAGGCAAGAAAAATCGGGCAAGAAAGAGGGGTGGGCAGACTGCATATTTCTGGATTGCCAGAAAGCCTTTGACACAGTACCACACAAGAGGCTAGTGAAAAAGCTGGAGATGCAGGCAGGAGTGAAAGGGAAGGTACCCCATTGGATAAGGGAGTACCTAAACAACAGAAGTCAATGTAAGGGGTGAGGTCTCAGATCGGCGAGACGTCATCAGTGGAGTCCCACAGGGGCCAGACCTTGGACCTATACTGTTTCTGATATATGTAAATGGTAGGGTACAGAATCGTTCCTCTCACTGTTTGCTGATGATGCAAAAATTATGAGGAGGATTAAAACAGAGGAGGCTACAAGATGACCTAGACAGACTAAATGAGTGGTCCAACAAATGTCTGCTAAAGTTTAACCCGAGTAAATGCAAAGTAATAAAACTAGGCGGTGGAAACAGGAGGAAACAGGAGCCTTCAGGAACACAGGTTCCTGAAGGCTGTTCTGATATTAGCCAGCCTCGCTTATGCTGCAGATGTAATTCTTTTTATGTGGGCTTCAGGAGACAGGTGTGGTGTGATATCAACTCCTAGATCTTTCTCTCTGTCCGTTTCATGAAATACTTCATCTCCTATTCTGTATACTATGTCGGGTCTCCTGTATACTATTGACGATTGAGAGGCAGAACCAAAGAGCCAGAGCTCAACCCCTGCAAGCACAAATAGGCGAGTACACACACACAGCCCCAACATGAATAATACACAATCTATAAAGATCCTTTAAAAATGGCAGGGAAGGCTTCCAAGGAACTAAAACCAATTCCCCCTAGAAAAACTCCAGAGCAGACATTTCAGTGCCAAATGCAGATGTTCGTGTCTCGCTAATAGCAGAGTAAAAAGACAATTGCTATATTTACCCGTAACTACTCATTCCAGTAGACTCTTGTCCTTCGGACACACTCCAAAGATGTGTAGGACAATTATCAAAAGTATGTGCTAAGCCAGTATGGCCATATAGATATACAGTACATGAAATAACAACCTTTAACCTTAGAATTCCTCTTCCGTACGTTCCTGTGCAAAATAAATCTACACAAGATCCTGTAGCACATGGAGGGGACTGAGAAGTAATGCACCCAACAGCCAAAGTGCAGTACTGTACTCTGTTCATGTAAAGTCCTTCTCATCTTTGTCTTGCCACTCAGACCTAGTCCAATTCTAAGAGTAACCACACCAATTCTCAAACCACTTTAATAATCATTTAGATATTTGTGATACAGGTACAGTAGTCTAAAATATTAGTTCCAGTAATTGTCTACATGTAAGCTACCAAATGAACCTTTGTCCTAAACAGACATACTCCAGTTTTACTTTTAGTGAAATATATAGTATATCATTGGGTTAAAACATAAAAAGTAGTGAAATTTTGTTTGAAGAATTTGGTTTTCTGTAAACAATTCAGGCACAAATAATTTTTGAATTCCATATTCCACATTAGTTATGTTAACATGATTTGTTATTGACAAATGTAATGAAACCTAACCTATCCAAACCTTGGATAGAGTAGATAACACTAATTATGTAGTCATTCCCAATCCATTTCCTTGAGCAGATCATCTCCCTGAGGACAGGTTGCATAATTTGGCTAAATCATCCTTTAACAAGCAGGGATCCAGTGGAGGTCTTTACATTAGTTGAGAACCAAGACTACCAGCACAAGCTGCAACTTTACAGCCACTTCCTAAGTGGTCTGCCAAAATGACAGCTGCTATATAACAGGATTGAAGATCATCAACTGCAAATACCAAAGGGTGGAACCGACCCTTAAAAACAAAGAAAAAACGCTAATCTGTAGCAGCTCACCAGAATCTATTGTTACTGGTCAATTTTAAGCTAACCCTGGCTAGCCAAAGACTAGGGCAATCCATTATTAAAAATGTCACAAAGAACTTTTACAGCAAGACCTGGGGGAGGGAATTAACAAACAGCATGCAATTCTACAAAGTAACAACCAAAATGTACCGAAGGGTGTATACCACACAAATCACTGTCCTTGAACAAGTACTGTGCCACAACACTGAAAATATACTGCAGTAGTTTGCACAAGAGAATACATATTGAGCCAAAACAGAAATGAAAGCTGGGGAGCCTGTCAATGTGCCTAACACAGAAATGTGTCTGCACCCTCTATAATCATTGCTATTAAATGTGCATACAGTACAACTGAATCTAGTGTGAATGAGCATGGGCCCACTGCAGTGAAAATATCTTGAAGACTAAATCAAGTCAACCAAATGCATTTCCCCTGACTGGATGGGCAGGCAAGGTGGTCAGTTAGGTGACAATGCTGCCATCTACTGGTGGTCTTTGAAAGGCTTCAGTATCTAGTGAACTTTTCTAGGGTCACTCCAGGTAAGATTAAGTTTTTCTTAAACTTTCGTGCCAGCCTCTAGCACCAACAAGACAAAACAGGGACACTGAAATCCCTATTGTGACAGTGCAGGTTGTCATCCTCTTCATTATCACGATCCATTCCCTTGGTACCAGAATGGAATTGTTAGTTATTCCATTTACTGGCTCCATCAGAGTTGAACACCTGAACAAATTCATACATTTGACAAAGGATAAAGATGGGTTCTTGATATGAGCTTTCTATAGTGCTTTTAAGGTAAAAGCAATGCCAAGATTTTTAATACCAAAGCACACCTTACCTTATTTCAGTTTAGAAAGCATGGGATATTTTTATAACAAACACCAGGAACCAAATCATTTTCAATAGCCCTTATTAATTTTAGTGTACGACAGCTGCTTTGTTAATATCGCCCAGTCACCTCTTGATCACAATAATGCAAGAACGGTGTACTTTTTGTGGATTAGTAAAAGTAACCTTTCAATTTCCTGAATAAAATTCGAGTTGAAAAACTATTTCAATCCATTATATAAAAATTACCTATTAGTGCAATTTGCAGTAATGTTTTAAGTCAGGTTGTTAGAAATTAAAGGGAATACAGGACATTTAATTTAATGGAACAACTTTTACACCAATCTAATCTAAGATACTGTACATACACACTTACCACTTCAATACTGACTCCTGCACTGATGGTAGTACACTCAAGACAAAAACTTGATCGGTAAAGAGGGAGTAACCCGAATAATATCCTACTGTAACATCTATTTCCATCACTTAACATCTGATAAAACATTCAGACACATTGAGTATTGGCTATACAGGGTCACAAAGATCCAATGGCAATAGTAACACAAATGGTGTTCTCTGTTTTACTAACAAGAAACAGTGCATTAAAATTAAACCATTTAAAAACTATATTAGATACTGATTATTCATTTGATTCAAAAGTTCTACAGATACTTTGAGAATCTGAGAAATACTCATTTTCACATCATACAGTACATTACATGGATTATGTACGGAAGTCAAAATGAACCTGCTTTATATATAAAAAAAAAAAAAAAAAAAAATACACAATGTAGTCCAGTAATACACGTTGATAACACTACTATAAACCTTTAAAATGCGCAATACTGTATACATTTTGCATGTTATAATATTTGTATTATTTTAAAAACAGGCGATATCTGAAAATTTATCTTCGGTGAATCTATGAACTTCAATGTGTAATAACAAAACTACTAGATTCTACTTGTAAACAAAAAATATACATATATATATATAATTATGACAGCACATGACTGGAATGTAACTAGTTAATATGCCTTTGCCTCATGAACTACAACTCCATAGTAAATGCTGATATTGTGCTTCACTGTAATGAAACTAGCTACTCTGACGAGTCTGAGGATTTCAACTTCAGAACTTACAGAACAGAAAATAAATACAAATCAAAAGGTACTAGATTAATTTTGAGAACCTAATACCTTTAAGAGGCAGAGACTGAACTTGAGTATTATTCAAAGGTTTAAGTTTCTGAATACCCATCATTTAAAAGATTCAAATACATCATACATTCTATTAAAAAAAAAAAACATGTCACTTTTGTTTCCCGATTGTATTTTTCAAACCTAATTACCTAAAATACACAGTACTTAATGTCTTTATTACAAATATTATACATATTAACACCCTTGTACATAATAAAAAATAATATAATTTTTGAAAATTCTATAAGACGGCAATCAGAAAATACCGAGACAACTATGCTAGCAATAAATATTCAAAACCTAATACAGGTCCTTGTATGATGTCTCGTATATTCCAATATCTTGGGAGGTCAAATTATCTTCTCAAATGTACGTTATGAATTGTGTGTAGTTGTTTGTGTGTGATTAAAATATAATATAATATATAATATATATATATATCCTGAAAACGAGTTTTGGCAATAATTACAGCTCAGTTTGTTAGATCCCAATTTAAAGACATTTACACCATTTTTACCAAACTATAATGCAATAGATTAGGCAGTCTAAATATTCACACTATAAATTATACAATATTTACTATGATGTAAACAACAGTACTATATTTTAATTTCAAAGTACTGTACATAAAAAATCATCTATGTTAATTAACTAATTCATCTATTTCAAAATTAACCAAACGTACTTTGTGTTTGCAGATGAGCTCTCAAGTTATCAATGCAATGTTGCCTTGATAGTTGTTCTGATCCACATTGGATACATAATTATCAATAATATCATTGAATGATGCCAGCACAAGCTCATCTTAATAATTTTACAAGTTACATACTAATGTAGGATTCAGTGTTAATTATTATTCTTTAAGCAGATGCCAATTGGGAATACAGTACAAGTTTCCATTTTTGTGCTATTAAATGAGATGTTAAGACTAAAATTTTTAGATCATAATATGGATAAAATGATAAGCACATTAAGAATCAGCTGACTAGCACCATTATGCCACAACCCTAGTTCAGCTGCAATAAAGAGAACCTTTGCATCTGTTTTGGTTTTCCAATCTTGGGCAGATCTATGTATACGGTAATCCCATTACTACATCTGCCAGTGTATTTGTAGACTAGCTTTGCATTTATGATGAAGTCTTCGTATACAAGTAGATGGCTACAATCAGACCATAGAGACCAAGTACCTGTGAGGAAAGGTAGGGTATAAAAAAATGAGGCATACCAAGACTACATAACCACAATTCTTATATATAAACAAACTATTCTTACCTTGTTATTTCTCAAGTGCTGTATGTCACAATTATAAAATCAATATTACGTCTACAATACCCTTTACAGTAATAAAACTTGAGAAAATGAGGACTCTTCCTCATTTTTATTAAGATATTAAGTAAGAATTGAGCAGCAATATTTGCAAATTTGAAGATACAAAAAATGGGCAGGAAATACATTCATAAGATTAAAGCCCTTCAAAACACTAGACAGGCTTTCAAAAATGGTCAAAAGATTGGCAGCTGTAGTTTAATGCTGACAAATGTAGGGTTCTAAATTTAGGTAATGATGACTAACCCAGTCTCTCAACTATGTCATTATGGTAATCAATGTAACCAATGCAGTATATGAAAAGTAGAGGCTCACAAAAATTCATTTTCTATGCACTGGTTGGTGCGTGGGTGGATGGCTTGGGTTCACACGTTTCAAGTTAGGTTAGGACATTGGATTAATATGCTTACTGATATACTTCGGCAATATCTTTATCTTCTTGGGCACCATTTAGATTATGCAGTTCAATTTTGATCACATAGTACAGATTGGCCAAATTTACTTCAAAGCATTTAGCAAAGGATTTCGAAGTTAATCCCAGGAATCAGAAATCTTCCATATGAAGAGATGGAAAAATCTTTATACAGTACAGTATTCTCTAGAAAGGTGAAGAGTTAAGAGTGACATAACTGAAATGTACAAGTGGATGAATGGCCATAAGGTGGATATTATTAAAGACAGTAAACGTATCAACACAGATTGGAAAATAAAGCAATGGACAAATTTAATAAGGTTAGATTTAGGAAAGTCCTGGGTAAATACTGGTTTAGAAATAGGGTTCTTTTGTGGAACAGACTACTAGGCAACATGAAAGATGTGGGAACACTTATATAAATTGTAGGTTAGACATACATACATACATGAATGGGTTTTCCGAGATATAAATCGGAGCCATCAAGTACAGTATGGCCCAATGGGCTTTCTGCAGTCTAATTCATGTATTCTCAAGTCAGTGGCTACGAACGATCCATCATTGAATCAACTACCGGCATACATATGCAAGAAACGAGCAATAACTATAATAGTCTATAATTCACTAAAGCAACCTGAGAATATTATGTTTCTTACCTAACAGTAGGAACAAATAACAACCAATGTTGACAAGGAAATGCTATTCATAAAATGAGCAACTACACATACAAGAGCAATTTGTGCTTACCTCAGCAAAAATGAGAATTAGAATCATCCCCACAAACAATCGTGGCTGTTGGGCAGTCCCCCTTACACCAGCATCCCCAACAATTCCAATGGCAAATCCAGCAGCTAGACCAGACAGGCCAACACTCAGACCAGCACCAAGATGTACAAACCCTCTGAAATATAAAGAAATTAGAGTACAACTGCCACTGAATACAAAGATTAGCGACTCTGAATTATGAATCTTTAGTACCAGACAAAACATATTGTACAGATATATAAAGGTATATAAAATTAATGAGCAAATGGTCAGTAATGAATAAAATGAAGAGGGTGAGTACATTAGACAATTGCATTGAGACAGCTTATATAGAGAAGACACACAAGAAGAGTCCATGGCGTACATGGCCTTTATGGACTTCAAAGTAGCACACGACAGTTTAATAAGACTAAAATTTTTGAGTCATGAGAATGAATGTAATTGGCCAAGTTCTGTTTAATCTGAAAAGTTTTTAAGCAGATAGTAGTTGTATGTGTGTATGTAATATAAGAGTTAATGGTGTAAAGAGTAACTGATTGACCCTTATAATAGTTGTGCATCAGCGTTAAGTGATGTCATCTTGGTTGCTCAGTCTATATATGCAAGAATCATGAAAACTGAAAACTTGGTATACAAGCCTAGTACAACTAACTATAATATATAAATGTTGAAGTAAATAAACTATAATTGTGATACAGTATACATAGAGTTGAAAATTTAATTGACAGGTGATATTTCAAAAAATGCATATGGACAAAGATAAGTTTATAGTATTGAAAGAAATAAGTATGAAACAAATGTGAATGTTGAAAGTGATAGCATGTGTTGAGGAATTTTAATTACTTGGAATGTGTATTTGGAAAAAAAAAAAAAAAAAAAAAAGCATTTATGCAACGTTGGGCAAATCGTGGAAGGAAAACGACTGGGGGATATGAAACCTCCCAGAAAAAGCAAAAGAATAAACGCAGCCAGGTAACTCGAGAGGCAGTGCCAACTCGAGTGTACGGATGTGTACTAATGGTGTGGTATAAAGGAGAAAAAAAATTAGAGTCAAAGAAATGGCCAAGAAGCATTTATTGCAATAGTGCAATAAAAAGTCAATAAATGGCAAAACAGTAGCATAATATATCAATTTCAGTATGTTGAACAAATGGCTGATAGACTGTTGAGTGTATTTGAGGGTAGGTGGTGTGGTGTGGCGAGGAAGGCCTGGATGAAGCGAGTACATACACCAAGTGTAAGAGGAAGCAGGGATTGATCGACCAATGCAGGATATGGAAAGAATTAAGACTGGATTGTAGTTTGTAAGAAGGGATTTAATGTATATTCTGTATAAAATAATTTATGAGAAGCATTGTATACCGTAGCACACGAGGTGGCAGGATGCAACTGTGGATAACTGCTGATAATAATGTTTGTTTATTTGTGAATTATATTCATAAAGTAAGTGATATATGTATCTATAATCTTCTTTAACTACAATATATAATTGTCTTTCTCAGGGATAATGTGTTCCCACCCCAATAAAATGGGTACTGGGGTAATAATACTATATGTCAAATATTAATTAGCTAGACAAAATTGGCTATTAGTGTAACTTCCTTCCCATATATATAAACATGGGAATCAAGAGCACAGACAAATTCATCCATGCTTTAAGTGTAAATAAATAGGTCCTTACTCGTATAATCCATATCCTTGCGAGGCAGAACCAAGCTTTCCAGCGATGAGGACAGCCACCACCAGGCCATAAATTGCAATGATACCAGCCATGACAACAGGGATGATGCATTTCATAATCAATTCAGGACGCATTACTGACATAGCTGCGATACCAACTCCAGATTTTGCTGTACCATAGGCAGCTCCCAAAGCTAAAAAGAAAAAGAAAAGCTAATATAATTAAAGATGTATTTTTTTGGTGGTGGGGCCATTTACAGGTCAAAAGTCTAAAATAGAAAAAGTTTAAAGTGTAATAGAAAAAGAAACCACTGTACACTTTTCATTTCGATCTAACAATATAATTTACCACTACAAGTGCTAAGTTACATTGCCTTATACAGTACTTAATGTCCTAAATGTATATTTCAAGTAGGAATATCATTACTCCAAAGATTCAATGTCTTTGGGCATACTCTAGCCAAAAATAAAAGTGCAACTCAGCTCGAATGGATCAATTAATGTTAGACCATGTTCATTTTAGCTAAAAATATGTTGCAGTGAAAGATCAACAATAATTATAAATTTCACTATTGTATTTGTTTTCCATAATTAGTTAAAATGATAAATCACTTTTTTGCTTATCTTTTGATGCCGAAACCAGTGGGTAAAACATTTAAGTATTTTATAGGGTCTTTATATGCACCTGGCTTCATTCTCATTTCACAATTGGGACTCTTGCGTTCAATTCTCGAGCTGGACAGAAAGGGTTGGGCATGTTTCTTTTAACCTAATACCTCTGTTCATCTAGCAACTAATTAGGCAACTGTCCCAGATAAGACATTATTTTCTTAATAAAATTTTTTTTTGTAGTTTTAGGTACAGCAACACTTTCCATAGTACCAGAGTTCCTGACCAGATCAACTAGTAATCAGTTCATCACAAGATCCATAACAGCAGAAGCCATTAGAATGGTATCCCATTGTACTGTATAACGGTAACATTGTTCAGGTATGATAAATATATACAATTTGAGCAGATTTACTGAATAAAAATACAGCAACACAGGTGTATACTTATAGCAAACTGAAAACTGATAATGTTACTGTACAGTTAATTAAGGATTACATCACTGAAGCTAAATGATAACATGTAAAAATTTTATAATTTTTGTACTTGGGTAATTTGTTTTATTTTTTAATTGCTTATAGTACAGAAAATGACTTATTCCCCTTCAAATTTTTCTTTGACCTTTGCCTTAGATAGTTTAGGGAAGTTATCTGCAAGGATGCCAACTTTTTATCTATGCACTGGGACAAAATGTACGAACTCGTGTTTGGCAAAGCAAATCTGGCCTGGAAAGTGAATTACAATTGGTAATCTGCCCAACTGAAGTTGCACTGTATAATTAAGAAATGTTTTACTGTGCTGGTACTGCACAAATTTTTGAAGTTGTTTGTGAGAGTGGCTTTTCAATTGGCAAAGGAATTTGGTCCGTTGTTTAAAGGTGTTCACCGGCCCTACATAACAGTTGGGACAGGCGAGGCAGTGGAGCACTCAACAGCTGATGGATTTAAGAATGTTGGTTTAAGTAACTCCTTAAATAGGAATATTTAACACTAAGGTCATCGTGTTCAATTATCCAACATATCTAGACCCAGAATGTCTATCTCAGCAATGAAGATGTCGTGTGGGCGAAGAGAAATGTTGTACAGTGTGAAAAACAAAACTAGATTGTTGTCCTGTTGAAGGGTGAGCCTCCAGATAAAACTTTTTGTGCAAGGACTTTGCTACAGTAAAGTGGATAAATATATTGAGGAACCAACATTATGTATACAGTGTTCACATTGGAAATACATGGATTTAAGTGGCCCTTTGACACCCCAGATATTGCTACTACAATAAGAAACATAATTTACAAGAGTGTAGTCAAGATTGGAAGAGTTCTTGCCATCATGTTACAATTGTTAAGGCACCCATAATACTTGTTCCTCTGTCCCATGAAGCCCCATCTGAAAGATCCAATGCTGGCTCTGACAAGCAGGATAGATGAAGCTCTGAAGAAAGGGACAATCGTTCCTAAGGAACAAGAAACAGTAAACAAAGATAGCCCCTGTAACCAACATTTAGGAGAAAGGAATGGAGATGATTAAGGCTAGCCTAGTGGCAATAGGAAATGAAGCCAAAAAAGCCTACTCGTGATGATAGGGCACAGGTGCAACATTAGCAACTCTGAGGTTGGTACACAGATTTTGGAATATCTCAAAATGTTAGACAAGAAAATTTAAGCTCTAGAAAAATCAGCTATGGCAGGTAGATGAGGTGAAATGGAGAGTGCAGTGGGGAGTGTAATGGAGGTGAAAGAAAGGAGCAGGATGGAGTAATACTGATGGAAGAGTCCCAGGAAAATTAACTATCTACCAGTGAGGTGAATGTTCAACCCTCTGTGGTGGGAAACATTGTAACAAAACGTAAGGTAGAGAAAGTTGAGCTAGGTTATTTGACTGTTGCTTTGCTACTACGATTTCTTTTCCTTTTACAGGAAATTTTTTTCTGTATTTAAATACAATAGTGGATGAATAGTGCCTCAAAGACCATAGCATAATGAACCCAGGTTAGCTCTTTCTATCATTAGAAATATAGACTTACGTGTACTGATATCTTGGGAAACTGCTGTAACATATTTATTTCATGTCCCATGTAGAAAAGTTACAACACATTTGTATTGAAGTCATTGTACAGCTTTTACAATTCAGGTAGGTGAATGGAGTGGGGTCTCCCAGCTATGTCACCACTACCATTTAAACCAACCCAGTCCGACCAGAGTATGGTCAAATCGTACTCAAGACTGACAAACCTCATTTCCCAATTACCTAATATATTGATTAGTATTCATGGTGTTTAGTAATAGTATTTCATATTAGGCTGGCCTGTTTTAAGCTTAGTTGGGTCAGATTAGGTTTGTTTGGATTATATAGGGTAGTTAGATTCGTTTTAGTGTTGGCAAAGTATTGTGTACTATGTAACTTGCATCAACCTAACCCAACGAAACCAAACGAAAACAGAAAATTGTATTTTATATATAGTGCCCAGGACGAGACACGTCACAGTTTTAATTCCGAGGCAGATTTTGGATGTTTTTGTTAAAGTTGATTTTAGGGCGACAACGAAACTAGAAATATGCACCTTGCTGAATCGGATTCCCGGTATGAAGAAATAAAAATAAAAAATAAAAAAAGACAGCAAAGGGAAACTGCCAAGTGGTGCCGACCACCTGGCGACACCCGCATACTCTCGACAGGGCAGCAACCCACACCACACACAGGCTAACAAGCTCGGTAGAGAGAGCCGGGCGTCCTCCACATGCAGAGAAAACACAGGAACCTCCAGGGCCCGCCCAACCTCAGCACCTCTCCACCAAGGCGGCTCTGGACCCCAGCCAAATGCCCGAGGTGCAAGGTAGAAAACGCTAGAAAATCTATCGACGCCCCATGACCCAGTGGCTACATAGGCCCCAGGCGTCGCAACCATCCGGGCAATTTAACGAAGGAGCCTTACAGCTAAACGTAACCTTATGGGCAGGAAAAGGAGAACGCTAACCGGCGACCCCTAGGTGGAGCAAAGGTCAGGCATTCACACATCGTCAAGGTTGAGCTAGGAATTCCAGGTTTTAGACAGTTCTGGGAGTCAATGACCACTCCAAACTGATTGGTGGTCCTCAAGCAATACATGGTAGAATTAGGTTTACCAAAATGATCAAGAATGTCCTCAACCTTAGACGTGAAGAGAGAGATATACCCACAGCTAGGACACAAAGTGCATGTTCAACATTTATTACAACCTAACATCGATTAGATCATTGTTTATCTTTGCGAGTGAAGGCGGCGAGCCAACACCTTGAGCAGCAAGCAGTGGTTTAGGCCTCCCCGGCGGCACTTACCACTGAATATCATTGCCGCCGAGGCCCCCATGGCTCCGAAGAAAGGTGAGTAGATCGGAGCTCCTGACATTGTGGTGGCTGACGCAGCACCTCAGAGAAAAAGCGTGAGCGGTACACAAGTATGTGGCGACGGGTGTGGGAAATATGGCACTCTGAGGTTGACGTTCAGCCCAGCACTCTTCCGACTTGTGTCGGTCTCCCTGATTGGTCGAGCCCGCCGCCACGGCCTTCTCTCAGCCAGTCAGCACTGGCGGCTCGTGGCTATCGACGCCCCACATGATCGATACAGAAGCTCAGCAGCTAGCCCGAGACTCTCTCCCTCCCGCTGGTGCGCCTGCCTCTTACTTTATTAAAACGAGTTTAATGTTCTGATAGCACTACCCACGAGATAAAGTGTCACAGATTTTATTATTATTATTATTATATTTTGCGGGGAACTAAACTACGTGTTTTTTACTGTCAGATATACTGAATGATTTGCAGTTTTAAACGAACATGCTTTCAGAAAGCATACTCTCATGTTTGACGTTTCTTGCAACCATGTGACTTTTGATCTCTTGGGCGTCACCATATGTTGATCAAATAATGTTTCATGGATTAGAAGGACATATTGTATTTGACAAAATTGAACATTTATATCCATAATTAAAAAATGTATCTATCTGTTCCAGGTTGGAGGCCAGATGCTTGGAGCTAGCAAATTTTAAATACATTTTAATTTATTTTTTAAGTAATTACTGCTGGGTACTTGCCCAACATTGGCAGGTCGGGATTGGTGTCAGAGCAACCTGTCCTCAGGGAGAAAATCCGCCCATGGGAATGAATTGAGAACGACTACATAATTAATTCTAATAGCTATACTATCCATGGATATGTTAGGTTAAGGTTTGGTTAGGTTAAGTTTCATTATGGTTGGTTACGTGAAATGGTGTATTACTAACAATTATGTGAAATATGAACTTCGAAAACTATTTGAGTGTACCAGAAAATTCCGTTTACAGAAAACCAAATTCTTCAAAGAAAACGTTTTCAGCATATTTTTTATTTTAAGACAATGATTTGTAATACAATAAAGTTATAACTTGAGACTAATTCTCTGTTTAGGACAAAGGTTTACTTCCCAGTTTAAATGTAGACTATTACGAGAACTGTAATATACTTTCAAACCAACACAAATATCTGGATAACTAGCCAAGTGGTTTGAGAGAGGGGGGGGGTGGTTATCCCATCCCCCGATGGGATTACGTGTTTTTCCCTTTAGACTTTATGGATTGTGTGTTGAACCAGTTTGTTGTGTTCTTATGGTGTTATAGATTAGTGCTATTGTGGGAGGAAGGGGAAGAGGGGTTCTGTGGGGGAGAAAGAGGAAGGAGGGGGTGGAGAAACAGAGGAAAGAGTGGGGAAGGAGGCGAGAAGAGGAAAGGGGTGAAAAGCAGGAAGTGGGAACAGGGAAAAAGGAGAGGGATGGGGGGGGGGGGGGAGTCAGACTTGGGCACTGCCGGGTATCCCTTCTTGTTAATTAATATATGCAGCCTTGAAATATAGACGTAACAGCATATAGGCATGTGATCAACAGTCATTCACAGCTTCCTTGTGTGATACTTGCTTCAATGTCTGCAGCTGTCCTTTGGTCACTTCTTGTCTTAATTGTGTTGAGTCAAAACACTTTGATATTGTCTTACTCTTTACTGACTGTGATGCCTAACCTAATTTCAATGCCTTCATCAATTATATATTTTATATGAATACATATATTGGAATAGTATCTGTTATAACAATTATTTTGATAGAACGAGTAACTTATCTATGTAAAGCAGACAAATATTAAATCCGCAGCTTAAATATATATACTGGCCTAAATATAGACCCTATAGCCTATACCCTATCTGAGCCCTCAGCTCCCTAGCCTCGACATCTTGTAAAACGATCTATGTCTGTATCCCAAGTATAATTTGTATACCAAGTCACAGTAACGTCGTTGAAAATGAGACACTCAACCCACACATCTGAAAATATATTAAAAAAAAGAGGCTGTGAAGTAACTCAGTTCAATTGAAGGTTAACAAAAAAGGAGCACATTTGAATATAAGCTACAGTACACAGAAGTAATAGTAATAGAGATAATTACATAAGATAATGGAGATAATTACGCCTTTATTAAATAGTAATAATTATTATTATTAGTAATGGTAATGTCTTCTCACAGACATAATAACATTTTATGTAAGGAATTTTCATCACGTCTTTCGCACTCTCCTGAGTGCTTTATCAAGATCTGAGTGTGTGATTAGGATTAAATTAGTGTTTGATTAGACGGTGAAATGTAAGTCTCGTCCTAATCACACACTCAGACCTTGATAAAGCACTCAAGAGAGGAGCGAAAGAGTTGGTGTAAATTCCTTACTTTACACCTATATAGTCGTAATGGCTTGGCGCTTTATCCTGATAGTTTCCTTCCTTCCTTACATAGCTTTCACATACACACAAGTGTGGGTTTTTATCCTAAATAATTATTATTATATAACAGGCTAACGGTTCACAGGTCTAGCGAGCGGAAGAGGGCATGAGCAGGTCAGAGAGGCCAGCATTTAAGGAAGTGATGTCGTTTCGGCCTATACCGAACTGTTATCAGGTCGTATCATAATTTGTATTTGTTATGTTAGGATTTTAGACTTCAAAGCTGATACTGTGGACCAGCTGAACCAGTTAGGTTGTTATTAGACTAGGTACAGTTTTTGTTGCTGTAGGCTACTGATATCTACTTTTAGGCTATTTACTTTTATTTCATTACTTTTGGTGTGCAACGTGTATGATTTCATTAATATTTAATTAAAATAAATAACAGTTGAATAACACAAATCAAAGTTAAGACTGTTATTTAATATATTTTAGCATTTTATAGTTTCTGTGGTACTCGGCGTCCCTGTTGTCATGGAAACGCCGTCAACACACCCCGCTTCCGTGATTACCTTCGTCCATATTTTAAAAACATGTGTTAGAGTGAATACTTGCTAGAGGGAACATTAGTCTGAATTAACACACTCTAGTCCACTGAACCACTTCCTGAGTGAACACATGGGAGATTAAACACTTGTGATCATCATGTCCCAGCGGCCAAGCTCAGGTAAGAAATATTATGTAACTCCACACCTGCAACATTGTTCGTTCAACTATAATAATTAGATAATTCGAATAATGTTCATAAACATTCATGCGTATACGTGCAGAAATAACACAATTGGAAGGATTACTTTCAATGGGTTTCAACCGGGGACCCACAGACCCCAAGGGACTCGAGCCCTAGATGTATTTCAAGAAAGGTTCTCGAATCTAATATTCTGCAATATATTGTACTCCTAACAAAATAAGAACCACTTACGAGTGTGTTGAACCAAATGTCTCCTGCTATTAACCTTAGGTTTTAACTGAGAATAACAATGCAGGATTTCTGATATATGAATGTGTGTTTGTCGCAGCAATGGCTACTGTGAGTTTTGCTAGTTCGATCTATTTTGTTGTAAGGATTCGCCGGTGAGAACGTTGTTGGAAAGGAGTGGAATGAGACATAAAAGATTGGGAACCACTGTCATCTATATCTATAAGAATGTCTGTTTGTCCAAGGGTGTAGACCAGCAGACGCTCGGAGCTAGCTAGCCTCATCCCCTCACAGAGTGGAGGGGATAGGGGATAAGAGACTGCATGGCGATCCCGGCATCACCAGGTACCCTTTCTAGTATAATTATATACGTGTTCGCTTTTTCCAGGAGCGTCTGAGGTGGGGAATAGTGGTGGTGAAGGCGGTGATGGTGTAAGAGCAGCCTCTCCCTCTAGCCTGGTCCTCCCACAACTGCCTTGCCAGGCCGGCTCGTCTACCTCTACCCGGACTCCACCTTCCAGGACCTCGGCCCGCGGGTACAGTAACTTCAGTGTCTGTGCATTAATATAATCTCGCATATATAAGATTAAATGTTCTGCTCTGTTTTACCAGCGAAAGTCATTGTATTTCAACCCAGTGACAATAACAACAAAAGGAAAGCTAGAATCATCCACCATACAAATTGAACTATTTGCTATACTTACAGCGCAGAACTTTGGAGCATGTTGTTCTCAACCAAACATAGATAGCATTTATAAGCATACTTCATAAATGAGCTACTGTATAAATCGCGTCAATTCCTTTTCACGCTGATTCCCAAGAAAATTCCCAAAATATTCCCAAGAACATGATGAGCTTGGAGTGCCCAATAAATCAGCCACCACTGGCGCCTTCAAGATATCAGCTAGAACAAACGAGTTCTGCAGCAAATGTAGAACTCCCGGGTTTCATGTCACGAAGGAACTTTAGGTTTAACAACTGCATCTTCTTAAGCATTACCTAACTTTTCTTTTTCACCTTCCCCTTACTTCACCGCTCATATTTATCATCCCTATTCCCCTTTCCTCGTATATCCTCCCTCCCGCTCTCTACCTCCTCTTTCCCATTTCTTCAACAGCACGTCTCCTTCGGGCAAGAGAAGGATCTCCACGACGTCGTCAGTGGCCTCAGGGACGTCCCTCGCCTCTCTCCTGGTGAAGCTGCACCAGCCGCCCCACTCCAGTCTCTCCGTCGAGGGCAAGCTGAAGATCAGAGCCACTGTGTGAGTTGACGCCCGCGCGGGAAGTGGCAGAGAGCTTGTTGGTGGGGACTTGTAGATATTACTGCTGATATATAAATGGCTTTGTACTTCTATAAATGTTACTGTACTTATATAAATGTATTTGTACTGTATATGAAATGAAGCTGTATGTAAACTCCCTTTCCACCAGAGACTGTGGAAGCGATGTTCTTTTCTGCAAGTTTTCCCCTGATGGTTCGGTGGTCGGCGCCGCTCTCAGGTCAGGTCAGGTCAAGTTCTTCACCCAGGCTGGAATGCTCTCCAACACTCTGCAGGTGAGGGCAAGCGAGGTCCGACCGGGTCTCCGAGAACTGGAATTCAAGTTTAAGGGCTGCAGAGACGGTGCATGAGGGCCGCAGTGAAGGGGCGTGAAGGTCGCAATGAAGTGGCGTGAGGACTGCAGTGAAGGGTTGTGAGGGGGTCATAGTATATGGAGGGGGGTTCCGCGGTGAAGGGGCGTGAGCGACCCAATTGAAGGGGCGTGAGGGCCGCTTTGAAGGATGTGTCGGTCGGAGTGAAAAGATGTGGCTGTGTTCGTGTATTCAGACCCCGGAGATGACTAGCTCCAGCCATCAACATGGAGAGAGTCAGGTGACGCTACACCTTCACCCAACGCTGCACTCAGCATACTGAGTCCTCTTACCTGGTCCACAGTCTTGCCCTAATCTAGGTAGATTCAGACTTCAGCATTTTCACCTTTAATAATGCTGCCTTGGATGCTCCAGCTCATGTAACACACAGGCAAGACAGGTGTTGGGAGGCCAGCCCATGTAACACACAGGCAAGACAGGTGTTCGGAGGCCAGCCCATGTAACACACAGGCAAGACAGGTGTTGGGAGGCCAGCCTACGTAACACACAGTCAAGACAGGTGTTGGGAGGCCAGCCCACGTAACACGCAGGCAAGACAGGTGTTGGGAGGCCAGCCCATGTAACACGCAGGCAAGACAGGTGTTGGGAGGCCAGCCCATGTAACACGCAGGCAAGACAGGTGTTGGGAGGCCAGCCCATGTAACACGCAGGCAAGACAGGTGTTGGGAGGCCAGCCCATGTAACACGCAAGCAAAACAGGTGTTGGGAGGCCAGCCCATGTAACACGCAAGCCTACCAAGTGTTAGGCCTGCAAACTGCATATTCTTCACATTGTCAGAAGACCGTTGACGCTGTCCCAAATATGATTAATTTCCAAAATAAAAATATAAACTGGGCCCAAGAAAAATAATTTTGGTGGAAACAAATTGCTAGCGTATCAGATAGTACTCCTAACCTAACCTGTCCTCTGTGAAGAACATTACTGGGACGAACAAACTCCATGCCCGTGCTGGTGGATTTACAAGAACGCACCATTTAATCCCCAAAAATATGTAAATAGAATATTACTAAGAAACTGCATGGACACAGAGACGAATATACACTAAATATAACATTAAGTGTTAGTCATTTGCATACTCTACAATAGAAACTATTGAATGACAAATATAACTATAGGACGTGGATTTGAAAAATGAGTTCTACATGAGAAGATTCAGCGAGGGATAGGCTGGGCCAGACTCTACGAACGCAGCTCATGTAGCATCTGACTTCATCACGATTTGTATCGCTTGTCAACGTTACCTCTTTGTGAGAGTAATTCAGTAATATTAAGTGTACTAAGTGGGTTGTTGTTTAATTCTGTCTTGTATGCCTGTCACAAACCACTATACAAATCGCTCATCAAAAGTTGTATTTATTACAATCATATTGATATTTAAATATTACTACTACTACTAATAATAATAATGGTGACAGTAATTCATATCATAATGACTGTTGACAGTTACCTGGAGAGGTGAGCGCAGTGGTGCCCACTCCAGCCACATCTCTCCTCTGGCTTCCTGGAGCCCAGCCCGAAGCCATCCTAACCGCCTGTGAGTACACCTGCTGCATGTGTTCATGGGCGTTACAAGATTCTGAATGAATGCAATGAGGTTACAGAGAGAGAGAGAGAGAGAGAGAGTTATATCTCGCAAATAAACCTCTCAATATTTCTCTGCATCTCCACCAGACTCTGACGGGCGTGTGGTGGCGTGGTGTGGGCGTGGTGTGGGTGTAGTGCAGGACACGGGCGGTGTGGACGTACGGGCGGCGGTAGTAATGGGCGGTGTGGACACCCAGGTAGTGACCTTCACCCGAGATGAGGTCACAGTCAGGGACGCCCACACTCTTAACCCAATCACCACCATGGATCAGGGGTCAGCGCTGGCCTGTGCAATAGAACTTCAGCACACCAACAAAAATGCAGTAGACTGCAATGTGAAACAACGATATACATTATATTATCCTACATTAATTCCCATCCAATACAGTAAATAATACAATTCAGCGGCATAATTTATGGAATAAGTCCTTGTTTTGCTCCTATGCAGAGCATGATTCCTCTATCTCTTGCCTTGTAGCGTGGGCGGTCAGCTGATAGCTCGCGGGTCGCTGTGGGCTGTAACTGGGCGTGGGCGGGAGCTGGTGGGCGGGGGCGGGAGCGGCCTCACCTGGTGGGACGCCCGCACCGGCAGCGTGACCCGTCGCTTGAGCGGTGTGCAGGTGCGAGGGCCCGCCCTGGCCTGGCACCCTCACGCTAACAGAGTGAGTGCCAGCCAGAGTTCAAGAGAGCTAGAGGACACGTCTTTGTGTAACTAAGAAAGTAACCTCAGTGCTTTCAATTGCTAGATATTGTATAATGCATCAGTTAATAAAAATATCAATTCAACCGTCCCTTAGAATTAAATATATGATGTTTTATCACTTGCAAAGGTCATTTAGTCTCTTTATCATATATTTTAATCACATTTAGCTTGTATTTTATATATTTTAAACTATGTTCAGTGTTCAAGACAAGAAGTCTAACTTCGCTGATGACAATATCTAGGAAGCAAATATTATTGGAAATATACTTATTTTGCTCATTATCTCATTACAATATAAATAAGAGCTGAATGTTAAAGATGCAGGTGTTACAGGTAGTGTCTGGGAGCTGGGGCGGCGGGCCAGACAGCGTCAAGGTATGGGAAGCCTCCACAGGAAGGTTAACTCATCTCCTTCACTCGGACTCCGTCAACACTTGCGTGAGTCAGTCATCCCCATACTTCATAGACTGTTTGCATCATTGTCATGTTATCTGCTATCGCATTTACTACTGTTGTTTCACAGTGTAATGTAATTGTTACATAATCATTTACATAAACATTAAAGGTTTACTATTCGACCAGGTGTCGACTAGTAAACCTGGAATGACTAACGGAAAATAAGATTAAGAAGATAGAATAACAGGTATAGCGGCTTCCTCGCTCATAACAGGTGTACAGCACAGTGTGGGCGGGCAAGGAGGTGGTGGCGGTGGGCGGGGCTGACCCCAACCTGCTGAGACTCGCCACACTGGATAATACGGTAAGGCAGACGGAGAGGAGAGAGAGACAAGGATGGGAGGGTTGGGGGGTAGGATAAATATTTCGGAGTACTTCTCCGAAATACTTATCCAGTACTCCGAAATACAGTACTCTACCTCTCAGTCAGCCCACAGCCCTGCTCCTGTGCCAGGTAAGTGGATGTATTATTTTTATACCTATATGTCTTGTGTATGATCCTCTGTCCTGTGTAACAGTGAATACTAGCATTATCTTCACTCTAATAAGACCTAATTGAATTCCTCAGATTAGGCAAAATAGTAATTAAATTTTGTCAATAAAGATGTTAATAATAATAATAATAATAATAATAATAATAATAATGCACTATGGGCTCACCATAGCCCGTGCTACTTTGAGCTTTTTGTTCAGTGGCTAAATATAAAACAACTTTACCTCTGATCCTTTCGGTTTACCCAACCTAATTGACGTGGTCTTGCCTGTGGGGAAACAGACGGTGGGTGTCCTTCGTGGAGTCCGCAACACGGTGTGGGCCGTGGACGCCATCCTCGGCCGGGGACATCAAGGGACACGCCTCGCCCTCGCCTCTGGACCCACCCTCTACATACTCGACGTCCTCAAATGAGGATCCGATTTTCACTCTGAAGAATGCAAAACCAAGAAGCGTCGTCCTACTTCAGCGCTAGCGTGAGCTACAAGGTCTACACTCTGCAGACTCGAACTAAGGCAATGTGAGCAAGCGACCCGAAGCTCCTTTGTGAAGGTGACCCGTGCAAAAATGACCATGTTTTGCAACTTACCAGCTGAGTCACTTGTAGAATTAGTACACTAATTGTGCTTTTGAGAAAAAATAAGGCTTTCCTTAGCGCCTCAGCAAGTATCCGGAAGTCGTATTCTCAGATGTATAAGTAAAAGTTATTGATCTAGTGATTGTGAGAATCGCAGAGGTCGACATTTTATTCAGGTAATTGATGATGGTGCGAGTGTTGCCACGGGGCATGATCTTACAAATTACGTCGCTTTTAGGTCGTTTGCGCTACGACCAAATATCGACGTAATTCAAAATAGAAATATATTTTCCAATTAAATTTAGGATTTTTTTGTTTCCGAAACAGCAAGTTAAGGGTCCTCTGGTAGGTTAAGAGGGCAGGAAATTATTCTAAGGTTTCAAAACGTCATGAAAACCGTTAATTGAAAGTTTCCCTCTCCTAACCTAACAGCCTGTAGGGGGGTAGAAATAGCCTAAGCTACTCTATCCCTTTGAGATGTATTTCTTTCTTGTCTCAATAAACATACTTGAACCTAACAGCCTAAGCCAGTGGACCCAAAACAGAAAACGGGACAGTACGTCACTTTTGCGAGCCAATTTTATTTTGAATCATGTGTATTTTTAGCCTGAGTGCGCATACGAGCGAAAAGCGACGTAATATGTAAGAGGACGGGTTGCGGGAGGAGCAGCTTGACCACACCCTGACCAGCCATCTCTCATGGCTCCGTCTCTGCCACAAGGAAATTAATAAAAACGAAAGTGATTTTAATATTTGTGTTTATTCAACCAAACATATACATAAGCTACTGTATGCATGACTGTTCACATTGTTAAATCTATTTAAAGGAATAGTCAGTAGCAGTTAATCTAGACAACAGAACACCCATTGTGCAGTCAGATTAAGGCAGCTGAACTCTTTATCATGAAACTCACCTTACTTCTTCCCCGGTAGTCTCTAGTGACTAAATACAGTGTCTAACATGCTCAGTAAAGTCTACATCTGTTATATAAGAAAGAAATTAAGTATTTAATGATGAATAACTATATATAATCAGCTTTCTCACCGGCAACACTTAAGAAGCCTCATGTACACAACACACGGGGACCCACATATCGATACTTGGGGGATATACACACACTGCTCTCAAAACTAGCAAGCCATTATCTGGGACGGGAAAAACTTACCAAACATGAGTTCGCCTCGCCAATGCTTGAAGGGTTATGCGTTGGTTTATAAGAAAATTTATTTAATTACGGGCTCACAAAGCGCAGTGTGACGATGTATCATGCTACAGTAAACTTCCATCTGCACCAACATTAAAAGTAACATATTTTATCTATAATATCATTTTCAATCTCGTCTGCCAGCCTTCAGGAGCCCGTGCCGGCAAGACTCCTCATGTAAGTCTTAAATTTGTCTCGTCTTGTGAATGCAACATACGAAAAAGTCCCGTTCAGCTGCCCGCAGGGAGGTGCAAAAACATTCAGAATATTTTAAGTTCATAGTTGGTAACCTTGACAATTCTGCAAACAATCATTTACACTGAATACTCAACGTTACAAGACATATCAAATTATCATTGTATCACATTAATCGGAAGTCAAGAAATATTTAATAAGTAAGCTGGACAGCTAAACTCGATCAGTATCTAATCTGAATTATTAAATTATAATAAACTACTAATAACCCTGAAGGTTAACCTTATAATTATAACACTGTAGAAATCAGTACAGCTTTACCTACAGTCTACAAACAGACTGGAAAGCAAGGGACTTTTGTACGGGGATGCCAACGATTAAATACCAGCATACTGTTTGACTATGAGTCCTGCGACAATTTGCACCAAGTAGCAAATCCGCTTCGGAATATCCATTGTCCCATTCTTACTAAATATTGCCTAGTGAAGTGGAGGAGAGGGATTGTACATTGATTCCTTATGCTGCCAGAAATGTCACCGCCCGTGTGGGAAGAGCACTAGCAGGGAGACAGAGTCCTCGCCCCGTGGTGACGGGGGACAAACGCCACCGTGAATATCTTCCCTGTCACTCTTCATGCTTGACACACGTCCGATGGGCTGGGGAGGGTCAGATGTCCATCCCCCACCAGGAGCACACCTTCATTATTTATCTTTAAGAACACATGTACACTTTTAACCTGTCTCGAAACATTACGCACTTATAACAAAAATATAAATAATATATATATATAATAAACATAATAATGGCTTACAACATAAAAAATTAAACTCCGTTGGAGTATTTGAGTGAGTGGCAAGAATTCACCTATTTCTCATCCACAAGCTGATTTAAGCATAGCCTAGACTACTCTGCGCGCGCGCACACGCACTTGACGAAACGTCGAAGAAATTAAATGGAATGATTCGGTGAGTTAGTGTTTGTTCACTTTCTAGACGGTAGAAGGTATTTATGCAAAATATCCATAACAAAATTAGCACTAGTCACAACGTTGTTGTGTTTAATTGCACGTGTATTAGAGAAAACCTGCTCCCATATATATATATTATATATATATATATATATATGGGAGCAGGTTTTCTCTAATACACGTCTCTAATATATATATATATATATATATATATATATATATATATATATATATATATATATATATATATATATATATATATATATATATATATATATATATATATATATATATATATATATATATATATATATATATATATATGTAACAAAATGTTACATATGTAACATTTTGTTCTGTGGCGTCCTCAAAAGGAAAATTAAAAATAGCATTCCTGCACAAAAAACATTCACAACAATAAGTGAAACACCTCATGCATAATTAGGATAAACAACAGATCGGTCATTTTATTTTCAAGTGAATTAACAATGAGCATTATGCCATCAAAATCTATATAGAGCAGTCGTGCTCTCACTGACACAGAAGTACACAATAATGGCCAGGCCTGCATCTGGCTACACTTACACCCCGACCGTGTGCATGTGACAGTTCACCCCAAGTGTACATCTAACAGCTAACCTCCGGCTTTAACCTAACAGTTCACCTCCCATGTTTGCCTCAAAGTTCACCTCCAATGTACACCTGTTAGTTCACTTCAAGGGCGAACTTGACAGTTCGGCTGCGTTTACACCTGACCGTTCACCTTCAATGTACACCTGGCATTTCACCTCCAGTGTACATCTGACAGGTCAGCCCTCGTGTTCACCTGATTACTGTACCTCGTCACGATGCTGTGACCGGCCATGCCACATACAGGATGGAATCGCTTAACACATGACGTGGATACCTCCAGTAGGCCCAGCTTGAGATCAGGGGCTGCAGATGGCAGCATTGGGTTACTCACCTACGCAATGGTACAGACAGAATACCAACCCTCACACCTAATGTCGGCAGGATACCCACCGACAGGCAGCTGGTGTTGGCTACACATCGACGCTGCTGGTGGAGGCTAACACACGATCTGCACATTGGCTGTCAAAACACCATATATAACTCTAATTCGTGTTAGTAACAAGAGCTATTAGTCTCGCCTACCTCTGGGTAGTAGCTGCTGTATTGTGCTAAATATCTCTTATGTTATAAGGATGGTTATCCAAGACGTGTCCCCCACTACCAACCCCGTGAGCTGCGGAGTACTGACGTCGACATTTCGTAGTTTTATTATGTCTACAATTATCTGTTTTGTGCGAAATATTTATATTTACTTGAAAAACATGACTTAAAATAAATCAGAAATGCGAGTAGGTAGTATTTTTTGTAATTACCTCAAAATTTCCATCTGCCTAGTACTATGTACAACGAGAGGTGCTTGCTGCTAAACATTCAGTACTCTGGAATGCATGTGCGCTTGCCGGGCACTCCTGGATTGATTTCGATAACCGTGTGAATTCCCTTTGAATTCCTCGGTATCAACCATATACACTTACTGGATGAATATGCGAAATGAAGCAGATATACGAGTGAAATGGTCCTGAATTTCATTATTTTTTAAACATTTTGGGTGAAAAGTCTAGTGAAATTACCTATAATGAAAAATATGGCCACATTTCCTCTCCAAATATTATGTGCTTTTTATGGTAGATACAAATGTGCTGTATAATATACCAAACGAGTGTCCATTTTTTCTAAATAGCTAAAACTTAAAGCCCATGTTAGTAGTAGGGAAGGCGCCTCACAGGTACCTTTTTTTTCTGGGAGAAAAAAGGTACCTGTGCGCCCCAAGGGTTTCAGGTAAATTTAGAATATCCCCTGTGCGCCCCAAGGGTTTCAGGTCCAAAGGGAAAAAAGGTACCTGTGCGCCCCAAGGGTTTCAGGTAAATTTAGAATATCCACTGTGCGCCCCAAGGGTTTCAGGTCCAAATGGAAAAAAGGTACCTGTGCGCCCCAAGGGTTTCAGGTCCAAAGGGAAAAAAAGTGCCTGTGCGCCCCAAGGGTTTCAGGTCCAAAGGGAAAAAAAGTGCCTGTGCGCCCCAAGGGTTTCAGGTCCAAAGGGAAAAAAAGTGCCTGTGCGCCCCAAGGGTTTCAGGTAAATTTAGAATATCCCCTGTGCGCCCCAAGGGTTTCAGGTAAATTTAGAATATCCCCTGTGCGCCCCAAGGGTTTCAGGTAAATTTAGAAATTCGTGTTTGTGAGCCAGGGTTTTTCAGGCGAATTTGGACAGTCGCAGATTTTAGAAGTAAGGATTTCTTATGAGAAAAATAATTTCCGAGACTTAGAAGTTTGTTAAAGCCTTATGGGAGAAATTCAAATAACGTGTGTAGCACTTTAGGGCTTCCAGGAGAACTCTACGGACATATTTTACATGTTTTCAACTTACAAAATCGTCTATGTAAGCCTTAGTTATTCATATAAATTTAGAAAATCACCTGTGTAAGTCATTGTTTTCAGGGTTTCGTACATCACACCCCCCTCCCTCCCCCCTTACCTCGCAATCTGTCGCGTCACCTTTATTTACTTTACGCCCGGCCAGCCAGACGGCTCTTATCATATCTTATCTCCATAATATCTCTACCGTCCCTCCTCTCTCTCTCTCTCCTCCTCCTATTTCCTTACAACTATTTTCAGAGTTTCAAATAATCATAGAAGTTTATTTATATGTTTATGACCGAATTTGTAAAAGGACCATTTTCAGAGAATATTGTCTTAGATGTTTTGTTAAGGAAAACAGACAACTTATCCATAACATTTAGTTTTATATCCATTTACGGCTATTTCACCTGTAAAGACCAAAATTGAACAGAGCCCAGTTTTAAGCTCATATTTCATCAGAGTCCAGTTCTTGATCGAAATTCATCAGAGTCCACTTTGAGAGCAAAATTCGTCAGAGTCTACTTT